GGTGCTTCATCCATTCTTTCTTATAACCTAATTTCAAAGTTTGACACTTCATGATAACTTTTACATTAACCGTATTAAACCCACCCCGCATCCAAGAATTGTAACTTCGTCCTTGTGAGTCCGGAAATGCCGTGATTGTCGCTTCAGATTATTTTACATTTTCATAATAAAAGGACTAATTTGAAAGTAAAACGCATTCGCCTATTTTCCATAATCCTGCTGTCGAATTCATGTATTCATTATTCACTATTCGCTCGTGAAAAGTCTCTATAGCATGTCGGACAGTGTTCTTGTGTATTCATAAGTAGAGGCTCATTTACATGCAATTCATCAGTCGAGTTGAGACATTATTTTATTACTAGACTATACTTATAGGAAGGTTATACTTTATAGAATGTATATTTAAGACCCATCCATGAAATTGACGTAAGAATTTAGACGCTCTGTAAAATATAATATATTTTCTTGACATGATTAATTAGAATGAAAATAGTATATTTCATCACTAGGCTCTGAATTGACTCTCTTTTTGATACGGGATTAGTGACCGAGGTTTGAAAATGAGTGAGAGTCGAAAGGGCATTTCTGGCTCGTATGATGAACACTATAGCTATACTGTACTGCGGCCCGGCACATGCACTCAAGCTATCTAATCACAAAACGATTATTTCGAGAACGTTTGTCACTATAATCAGCTCTCAAATTGTTTACGTTTTGTTTTGCTATTGTATGAGCATAGAACGACAACTATTGCTGTTAAATTATGGTAGGGCTGCCTTCATTGTTGGTTCTTTTCAGAACGAGGGTTGAAAAAATATTTTTTCCCGTGTGATTTATTATATTATTTATATATAAATTGTATATTTTAATAGATTCGTGAATGGTTATAAAGATATCAAATCAAATATCAAATCTAGCCACTTAGTTAAATTCTTGTTAGTTCAGGTACCATCACACACCACACCACCATCACTTCACATTCTACCGATCTATAACTTAAATTCATTAAAGTGCAACGTTAAGTTTAAGTAGTGTTTTAGGATCAAGCAATTTCTACGCAAAGAAATCAAAAATCGCAAATAATTGACAAATTTGGTGTTGAGTTTTATGGAAATACACAATACCTCGGATATCGTTAACGATATCGTTTGGTTTTACTGCTGCAACACGATACGACAAAAGGGATTTGTCAAGTAAGTTTATTCGGTTTTGTTACAAAGTTATCAAATTTTTACACGTTTTTAGTTCAACTAAATACAGTGAACATGAAATGCTCCACAATACCCACTTAAACAATCACGAATTAAAATTAATTCAAAACCTTATCGTGACAATTCAAATCAGATACCTAGTAATGTGTTTATTTATATCAACACAGTATCCACTTGTACTAATTATTCAGTGCTGTTGAGGTTTATCATTCCGTTAGATTTGTCGAGTGGCGTCGATTTAAAATACTAATATTTAAACTCAATAAAATGCGTTCCTTAGTTTTTGCGCTGGTCTAATATGGTGTAATGTTATTTTACCTACGACAGTTTTTTACATTAGCCGTTTCAGTTCATTTCTTAGAATTGAAAAGTTTCACATAACAAGATTTTTTACTTGCATCTTAGCATCTTGCATCTTTTAGCATCTTATTCCGTTTTAGCATTATTTAGCGTTCTATAAAGTATCTTGCATCTTGCATCTTTTAGCACGAAACAACACGGGTGACGGACCAATGAGGTTCAAGGATTTAGAGAGAAGAAGTAAAATTGTAATGATTCGAGCTTCAACTCAGCTGTTCAGGCAAATTTAATTGTTGAGTGGTGCAATTAGTGTTTGGTACGATGTTTCGTTGCATCACTGCCAGTGGCAATGAGAGGTTATAAACGAAAACATGACCTCTCTTTAGAAGTTATGAGTAGTGATTGTTAGTATTAAAACACTGTCGTAGGTAAAGTAGTGTACGCAACTCGTTGAAATAGTGTTAAAATGACACGAGTAGAAAACTTAAGGTAGGTTGTATATAGGTCTAATCTAATACAACATTTTGGAGTGTTATATTTTAAAAATTCACGTTGATTGGTTCGTGTTCTCTGTTGGCATTTCCTTGTCTAAGGCTGTAGGTCTTAGACAAGCAGCCCAGAGGGTTCTCACGTCACGATATGTTCTTGTGTTTTGAGGAACTGTTCGAGGTAAGGTAATATAAAATACATTTGATTTTGTAAGTTCCAATGAGAGTTTGTATTACATAACGAATTTCTTTAATGTTGTATATAGATCGTGAACGTAGACTTATCAGTGTTGATTGTTGCTTGTTGATTGTTAATTGTTGATTGACCTGTCACAACGCTGCAGTAGTTGTGGATTGTTGATTGTTGATCGATACAACAACAATCACGGGACAAGTCATCTGTGTGAATCACAATTTATAGCATCAGAACTAATTTTTTGACGATCAATGTTTGTGTTAGTGAATGTTTTAGTGTAAACACCTACCTACATTTCGACTTTTGACATATGCATTTTGATGTTTTACTGAATACGTAAGATTTGAGTAATTTTTCACGCATAGTGCTTGGAAAGTTGTTAGAGTCCTTAAGTTTTGTTAGATTTTAATGTTTTATTTTTTATACTGTTTACATGATAGAAAATTCTTTTCATTTGTTAGTAAACGTTAACAATAGCATTATACTTTCTGGCTTGGGAATATTTGTTAGAGGTTTAACTATGTACATGCTCAGTTTTTTTTTCAAAAATGTATACACACGTATTTGAAAATATCTATCAATTTTGTTAAAAAAAGTTCTTAAACTGGACTATAATTTGGCCCTGCAATTGTGAACAATTTAGACTGAAATAGATGACAATTACACTCGTAACACAAGTTGTATTATAACTTTTATTACAACTTGTGAAACAATAATACTGCATTGCTCTCCACCTCAATATGAAAATTACTTTGTCCGAGTTTGTACATTGTTGAATTATTCTTGACGTTCTCAATGGAAAAACCTTGGAACTCTTCACACAATCAATATCTGCTCTTTGTCACGATAATATTGTGCGAAATAACCATATCAGGCATATGTTGACGATAAATTGATGTAGTTATTACTTTACATAATATTTTTATATGATTATAGATGATAATCTATTGCATACGAATGACTTAGCCTACCTTCCAAGTACTGAATGTTATGGTTTAGAAAAATGAAGGTATCGATAAAGAAATGTCAAACAAGCATTCTTATATTTAATATAAAAATAAAATTATTGTGATTTTTGTTCACAATAACAAATAATACATTAGCCGAATTGCATGAATGTATGACTATATTAGGCTTTTGTGGCCTAATTTTATAAAATCAAATACGATTAAAATTCTCCAATAAAAGCTTTGATAGGAACAAAGTCATACAAACAAAATGTTTTATTTTACAAAATTCATATTATATGACATATTTACCAAACGTAAAAGCTAAAAAATACTAATCGATCAATAACATATTAACTTACAAAATGTATGTACCTTCAACGAATGAAACTACTTCACATACTATGAAATCTAACATACATAATCCTTACAAGACTTTGGAAAAATAACAACCTTTGTTGAAAGATAACATGTTTTATTCCATGTTAGATGACTTTTATACAGAAACAGTCAAAGTTGTGCTATCCCACAACTATTTCGTGATTGAACCGCACACTCACATACGCTAAAGCGTTTTATATTACAGTACTCATGTATTATTACAATGAAATCCCCTATATTATACTCTGTGGAGTTTTCACACGATCCTCACTGACAATCACCGTCTTTTTATCGTCTGTTATCGTTTATCTACGATTACGACCGCTGATCGCAGCTATTACCATAAACTGCTGGCTTGAATATGATTGTCATGCGACAACAATCGCAGCGATGTAACTGTTCATTATGTGGAACTGTTACTTGATGTCGCAGTGATTTGCATGTAACACGTTACAGATAACCAGAGATAGCGATGTAGATGGAAGATTCGCCACGATATTCGACCGTTTCTAAACATAATACGTCATTCAAATGCTATAAAATTTAGTGTTTCAGCAGTGCGTAAAATATTTGTATAAACGTTTATCAAACATTTATAATTTTTCTTGAGAATTATCAGTTTAAATTTATTTGCGTAGTTGTTAACTTCTTAATATGGACGCAATTGTTATTCATAACAAAGAAAATAGTTGCGTTTTTATCAGAATATTTAGACGGATTTTTTGTTGTATAAACATTTTTATCATTGGTAAATTTTATGTTTTTTGATCGTGAAGAAGTTGATGAGTAGAAGTTAAAAAGTTTTGTAAACCTTGGACTTTAAAGATGCGTTTCAATTCACGAATTATTTGAGTACGCTACATTTAAAGCTATCGTTTTACAACCAAAGTTTTGTTTTACATAGCATTATTAGAAAGTATTTCGTTAAAAAAAAAAAAAAAAAAAAAAAAAAAAACCGGTATTTTTTTAATGGAAAATGAATGCTTTTTAGCGTTAAATGCTTTGACTACGGCACCTGAATCTTTTACAAGATTGTAAGTAGTTAAACCTATTCCACGTTTTTTTTTTGTTAATGTACAAACTTATGTAATAAAAACCGCTATTCTTTCTTTAGCCTCGTCTATGGTGATGAAGGTTTTATGTCAAGTAAACGCGACTGTACCTCGCCAATTGACTCATCATTTGTAGCATCCGGCGCGGCCATCTTGTAACGCTGTTGTAGGCTTGTATCAGCTGGCTTGTATGGATACTGTACCTACAACAGGCAGCAAGCTGGACTAGAGGTCAAGTGCGAGACTTCAGTCCCTATGGTCCTGGGTTCAAATCCCGCCAAATTACAGGATTTTAGCCAAGTGATAACGCCGCAACCCCTACCTTTATGCAAAACGATTTCTGTGTCTATCGTCCTAGGACAAAAAAAAATACTACAATCAGAACAATCTAGTATGTTTATGAATAATGATTATCTCATTTACAGATGAGGCAATGGCAGATGACAGTGTCTTGGCTGTGCTGAGATGCTGGACAACAGTCTCCAAGCAGCACCACCAGTCTCTAGCGATCATGTACCCACTACCTGTGAGTATGAATTTATTATCCTGTTTTTAGCGTTTTTATGGATGTTTTTGCATATTTCCCTTGGGGTTGTAGTTAAAAACCTATAAATCAGATGGCTTTTAGTTGTTTGTTGTTTGCTATGGTGTAGGCCTACTCATGGTTTTGGAGTCCCACTTTAAGTTATTAGTCATCCTATCTCTATTTCTTATTGGGGAGCACACTGGTCTAGTGGTGGAGGGCGAGACTTCGCTCCTGAGGTCGGGGATTCAAATCCCGCCAATCACAAATGGATTGCAATGGTGATGTAGATGTGCCAACCCTAGACCTAGCCTGAAGAAAAGTGGAAAACTATTTCGGGCTTGGATCTAGAGAAATAAAAAAATAAAAATCCTTTTATAGTCAAAACTAAAATAAATTGATAAAGTAGATAGGTCCTTGGTTAGGAGTACTCATTGATGGACGTCCATTAAGCCTTAGATAAAATAGACGATTAATTTTGATTCCTTAAAAGTTGACATCACTTTCTTAATCTTGATCTCCACTGGAGCTAATAATATAAAGATGAAATGGATATTTTTAGTAAACAGTTCAAATCCCTTTTATATTAGAGGTATGTTCTTTCTAACCACTTCAAAATTCATATGAAATAAATACCATAAGTTCAATGTTCTATGTTAGCCTCATGTTACAAAACCTAAATCATCCAATGTTCCACATTTAAAATTTGAGTAACCACTCAATGAAATAAACTAACTTAACACTACTGCAGAAACCTTGACTCTCTGTTGACACCTGATAACAACTGAACTCTCTTGATAAGAAATAGATCTAAAGCTCTGGCAAAAAAGTTCAGTGACTGAAGGTATTTTCCGTAAATTAATTACTGTATATTCTTTTAACACTCGTTAATTGATAAATAATTACTATCATAGTTCCACCAAGGAGTGAAAAACAGGCTTAAGCGTAGATCATGGTGTTTAAGTGTTTGAAATCCCATAATAATAAGATTTTCATAATTTGCAACATAATTTTTCATACAAACTTCTGATGAATGGTCACTACAGTTATAGTGGAAGAGATTAAACGCTCTGAATAAAAACAAATCTAAAAACGCAAACGATAAAGCTATTTAAAGAAACACTGTGGTTGCATGATTATTTGCAAGCATTATAGTAACCTCGGCTTAATGCAGTGCAGTGGTGCTAGATATGGGGTGAGAATTAATTCAAGGGTTAGTGCAGCTACAAACGCAACTAGAGTAATGTAAGGTGTAACACACATGCAAGCCTCTAACTCTGTGATTGTTTATCTATGGTGAGAAGATTAGGCTATGCATGATTTTCATTGGTGTTGATGAAATGTTAATTGAAAATTTGAGCTGTTTATGGTGAAGCCTGTGAGAATTTTTTTATTCTTGTTGTCTAAGCTTTTAAGGCAGACAATCCAAACCCAAATGTTTTGTGGATGTGAGGGGAACCAAACCTGTCCCTTATTACAATTGAACTTGAAGCCAAGACCATCATAATTGTTCATATAAATTCTGCTTATCCTGATATAAGGCAGGGCCGCTTTAATGAATGGGCCCAAGGCAAGAGGTTTTAGGTTTGTTGGGGGCAAGGAAAAGAAAACTAGAGTATTGACCAGTTGGATAACCAAATTATTTTGATGAAGAATAATTTTAGGGGTTTGACCGCTTTTCCCCAATCCCCCTTGTGATACATCCACCTAAAACTCTTCTGAGAGGTATACTCATAAAATGATGGCCATCATTTTATGGAACCCAATAAGGAGGTATTCAAATCTATACTTATTTAATACGCAAGCAGGTTTTTTGTGACAATTACTCCTCCAAAACTACTGAACCGATTGACAGGTTTTTGGCGTCATTGGAAAGAGAGTAATGTGAAGTTGTGCAGGAAACTTTCTTTTTAGGGAAATAATTAGAGAGTGAGGCCCTGGGGCCCTTTAAAGTTTCGTATTTCTCCATAAGATTAACATGGGAAACAAACATTGTTATGAAACTCCAGCTGTTGTTAGAAATTCAAAGTGAGAAGAAGAACTTATGTTGATTGTAAAATTGTGACAGAGAGGTTATGCAGAAAATCAGGTAGTTAATGGTTATTTGGAGCTATTAAAATAAAGACTGAAATTTGTAAACGTACTGGTGACAATGGGTGATACCATGCAGACTACATTAACATTGGCAAAGACCAACATGGACAACCTATTGCGGCTATAATTGGGAAACATTTCTATAATACACTAAAAGCCAGATCAGCTTTTGAAAAATGATAAAATATTTACAAGAAATGTTGATTATATTGAACTGTTAAGTACATTGTGAGTATTATCATTAGTTACCTAATCTTTGAGTTGACTCTTTTAAACTCATCGGAATTAATGACTTATATTTGTTCTTAAATAAGTTATTTGTTTTTAAATAACTCCTTTACTTCTTTGCGATTGCTCGATTTCGAGCAACATGTACACTAGTTTATCAAATTCTATTAAAAGTTCTCAGGCAAGATTGATTTTTGTTGCACAGTAGGAAATTCTATCAAATGAAAGTTTTTTTGTAAAATAAAAAAATAGTGGTTATTTTTTAGTTAGTCACTTTTTTAAATTCTACATCTGCACAGTACAATGATAGAATGTAGTGTGCAATACAGTGCAGGTTGTGGAGGTCAGGTGATACAGACAGCTGTTATTGATCTGTCACACATCTTGTGGTATTCCCATCCCCCAACCCCTTCAGCACACACACTGATATCATTTGTAAAGCCCAACATATCTTTGTTGTACCTTCATTGGTATTTCATGTTCAACCTAAATCACCTTGAGTTGCATTTATGCTTGACAATATGCGGATTTAGTGGACAATTAATTAAAGCAGCAGTAATATTGAATACTGATATAATTTGTTTATTAATTTATTAAACAAAATTTATATGTACAAAAATATAACCTTTACAGGATAGCCTAGTATTAATTATCTTTTATAGGCATTCTTAAAATTTATTCTGGACACAACATAATCTTTCCCCGCAGTAATAGCAAAATCATGGACATCTCCCATGATCGTGGAGGCATCATCATCATCATTTACAATTGAGGCAAAATCGCTGGTATCCGTTTTGAGAAATTCCTGAATTACATTTTAATCCCTCCCGAGAAGACACAAATAGGACCTGTCCCCCTGATGACGACCTCCTTCTTACAAAGTGGTACTCAACATATTTTGGTCTTGTGAAGAGCCAGGGGAAAGGTTGGGAAACACATCCCCCTTCATCCAGCTTTGGCCTTTGCAAACTATAGTGTTTGGTCTTAACATGTTGTGATTGTGTTGCAGTGTATGAGAAGTGCCTTCACAGTCTCCATCATGACCACAAATGGCAACAGGATACGAGCCTCGGTCGCCGCGTCGGACTTTACAGACTTCAGACTGAGATCGGACGGGGAAACTTCTCCTACGTCAAGATGGCGATACACGAACTCACCAAAGGTTGGTGGATGAAATCATAGAATTTAGCAATAGAAAACATTTGTTAATAGACTTAGGGAAAGGAAATCTAACTTCGTTTGTGATGGGATGGTCCTATTTGATAATTTTGAGTTCCATTCAATATAAGATAAATGAGAGGTTATTTTACCTTGATTTTGTCTAGTGATTCCTTAACCTCCTCTAAAAGTGTTTGACGCTTGTTTGGGTGGCCACACCACCCTCTTCAGATTTTTGTCAAGAATAACAAGCTTTTCCCATTGTCTTGACAAGGAAGGTAAATCTACTATTACAGCAGTGTGCTGTATACGTAGGCTGTTCCATATTTTAAATGCTTACAAGTCTTAGTGCAATTGTGGGGCTTCCCAGCATAACTGCAATAGGCAAGGCGTACTTCTTACATGGGAGACAACTGTGTTCAGGTCAGACTTAGGAATTTATCTCACCACTCACAAAACACTGTGAAATAAGTGTATACAAATAAATACCGTACCAATATTGATCATGGTCTTTGAATCAAGGCCCCACTAGAAAAAACAGGCCATGCTGCAGCGCGGGTAGCGCAACACTACGTCACAGTGGTGGATAGTTGTAGTAAACGCTTACCATTAAAATCTTACAACCAGCCAGCTTGTTTATTTACCTAAAACATATGCGAATTGTGATAGCAATGAATTTATCAATGAAATCTATCCACTAATGTGACGTCATGGATCCTGCAGCATGGCCTGTTTTTCTAGTGGGGCCTTGTTTGAATACACAATTCTAACTCATGAAACAGCTGATCTCAGTTAGTAAGGAAGCTACAAAGATAATTTCACTCCATTCCACACTCATATTGCATCCATATCAGCTGAAAGTATGGATCAAAGTGTGTGTCGCGGTCTCAAAGAATTGATAATTGTTTTAAAGCCTCTGACCACGTTTGATACATTGTTCTCTGTTGTGAAAAGGAAATTCCATCCCTGCTCAAGCTACAGTCAGTTTCAGCTTTACCCATGCCAAAAGTGACAGTGAAACTTATGCAAACATTGAAGAATGTAATTTAACCTTGATGAAATGGTGAATTTACATTATTTAAGTGCACATTTAATGTTTAAGAAGCCCAGACAGTGCAAAATAAGGAAACATAATTACATAACGAGACTGGAATAGTTGACAGAAATGTGAAGGAAACCCTTCAACTTCCTCACCCGCTTTGTGTAAGAGGATTATTTGGCACTTTTAACTGCTCAATTAACTTGACATCGGCTCTGATTCGCCAAAAATAACTTATGCTTGCTGAGTTTTGGTACAACCATAGATGTTATCCAATATAGATATTTGTCACTCTTATGGATCATAATTAGTAATTATGTTACTGTTCAGTAGGAGCGTATTCTGATGTTTGCTATTTTTGTTAATTTACCGACATATCGCAACCAGATTAATTTATTTATTCATAAGCTATTGCTTATCTCTAGTGATGATTTACTTTACTTTATTGATTTCATATTCACTTCAGGTTCAACTGACTTATTGGTCGTCAGTTTTTTTGGCGGTGCATGTGCTTAAATGTTTTTGTGACGTGTCTTGTATATGTAATATTTTATTAACAACTAATGCAATAAAATTAATGAATCTCGCAAAAAATGTTAACACCACATTATTTTAGTTTAGTGTATTGCAACGCACCGGACGATTAGGGTGATCTCTGAAAAATCCTTAGTGCTATAACAAAATCAGGATTGCGAAGACAGTAAGTAACCTACACACGCAATCTGTCACACTGAAATATCATGTCTTGATTGTATCGCAAGTTTCTCGTCTAATTATAACATTTTTTCAGAACGAGTGGCTATCAAGGTGCTGGACAAAGCCAAGCTGACATCAAAGGCTCGCAAGATGCTCACAAGGGAGATTGCCAGTATGGAGTCTGTCCACCATCCCAACATCATTAGGTGAGGAAACAATACGTATAAAACAATCAAGTCAGGTATTTAAAGGCTTAGTTGCCATAAGTTACATGTTTCCATCATGATGAGTAAACAAGATTGTACTGCATTTTGGGAACTGGAATCTGACTGATGATTCTTGGGTGAGAAAGAATCCTAAACGTTTCTTAGCTGAACAGGAGATCAAATCCCAGATCCTGAGGTCGTGAATACTTTTCTTTTACTATTTAACATAGAAAATGTTGGAGTTATCTCCCTGATAATATAAACTTAAAGGAAATAAGGAAATAAAGGTCACAGTGGGAACTTATTCAGCCAATTGTCACACTATCACTCATAAAAGTCCTTGTCGTTAGTTTGTCTAGATGGTGGTGTTACTTAGACATGTTAATGAAAGTAAATAATTAGAGATATCTATTGATATGAATTAGTTACACAAAATTATCTTGTGGCTTTTTTGTGGAGGCAAATCTTAAGCACAGAAAGTTTTTCTTACCAAAAAGATTCATTTGTTATTTTTATATGTGGACTTGATGCACTCTGGTAATTAATTGCCCAGTTTATTCTTGGCGGTCTATTTATTTTGACTGGTAGAACCATTTTCCTTGAGTTATCTGACTTTTGACACGCTCATTTTTAAATTGGGAATTATTTTATAGAGTAGTCTTGCACTCACAGCGGGCGACTTTTCTCAGTAGAAAAATTTATTTACACACAATAAATTGAAAAATTCACAGTCACTGTGCAGGTAATCTGATCTTTCTATCAAAAACAAAATGAAACGTCTAGGTTGAATACCTTTACCAAGAATGCCTAACCTCACATTTGTTATATGTTTAGCTGTTAATACCTCAAGATTGTTTACAACATAGTGGGTTTTCTTTGGTTGTACCATTTTAACCTGTAAATGTGTGTTAGGTTATATGAGGTTGTTGAGACATACAGTAAGCTCCATCTTGTCATGGAGTTCGCCAACGGAGGCGAGTTGTTCAACAAGTTGACAACCGAGGGGAAAATGGAGGAAACTGAGGCCAAAGCTATCTTCATACAGTTACTGTCTGCTGTAAAACATCTGGTAAGTAGATTAAGTGTTGAATTACGATACAAAGTGCATTTTTGAATTGAAACTAAACATTTGATACATAATTTGCCTCCAGGATTGATTTATTGACGTAAAATTAGGTTACTAACCTGTCGTCAATCAGTCCTATAATATAGGACGACAATATTATTGTCGTGGATGACTATAGTTTCGGGGTTAAAAACCAATTTTCAAATCTTCTCTTCAGTCTGTTTTAGTCCTTGGCCAGCCTCGGACGCTTGTACATGATTTTGTAAATATTGAAGTATTTTTGACGACGGATAGTGAAAGAAGATATCGATATGTTTGACATATAACGACTGAAAAGAAGATTTGAAAATGGAGTTTTAACCCCGAACTATAGCCATACACGACAATATAGCTCTGATTGACGACAGGTCAGTATCCTCATGTTATGTAAACATTTGACATACTGTATTAGAAAAATAAGCAATAGGAATAGAAATAGGATACAAGAACAGTGGTGAATTACTACATGGGTACAGTGTTCTCTTTCTGTTATGGTGTTTAGCATACCCACCAATGCTATCCAATTATATCCTCAAAAATTGAACAAACCTCAATAATTTTCTTAATATTACATTTGTAGGTACCATTCTGGGTAGGGTTATGGAACAAGACAGATAACAAATAGTCAGTGTGTAGTTTATGCCAAAAACCGCTGTAAATTTATTTAATTGTGGCCACAATTTGATTTTATTAATTGTATTTTGTGCATAGCTTTAATATTGAATACATTTTACCATTTTTAACTTATTGGTTAGCTGTATTGGTAGATTCCTTTCTCTAAAGATTGTATCGTCTCATATTTCAATTATATGACTTGTAGAGTTTAATTCAAAGTGTGAGAAGTAGTGTTAAAACCATAAGAAAAAACACTACGTAATTTCTAGATCATTTCAAGCCAGCTAGAATTAGGTATAACAAAGTAAAATGTTTAAGTTGAACAAGTCATCTACCTATAATGACATCCTGTTATTCCTGTTTGACTAAAATTTATTTTTAAACCAATTATAAATATTTGCAAAAAATTTTTTCCTTTTGTTTCGTAGCATGAACGCAACATAATCCATAGAGACATTAAGGCAGAGAACGTGTTCCTCGGACCAAGAGGGATTGTCAAACTTGGTGACTTTGGATTCAGCACTCAACTTACTTCTGGTTGGTTACTTGCTTTAAATATTCTCTCACTTGTAGCTGTGTTTGCTGTATTTGTTTGTAGCGTTCTTTATTCCTGGTCATAACAATTATATAGTTAGGGAACACAAATATATATTTATACATTTTTTTATGGATTTTTCAATAAGTTAAAGAACGTGAACACAGCAAAATATATAAATTATTGTAGTATAGAAAGAATATCTTTAAATTATTTGAGGATTTAAAGGCTATGATGTGTATCAATAATAGCTGCGGATTTGTAATTTACCTCTGCAAGATGTGTTCAGTATCAACGGCTTCCCAACTAAATGCAAATGGTGAAGTCAAAAACTGCTTAAGGGAACACCTACGCCACTTCTACATTTATTAGCTTTTTGAAGGTCCTTGATCCTAGCCCTTTATATTAAATCAAACCATGAAAGATTGCCAAAATTGAACTCTTTTCATACATATTCAACCAGAAAAGGTAATGAATTGGCGTTCAATAGACATAATTTATCGGTTTATGAAAAAAATCCATCTTATAGTGGTGTTAAATATTTCAATAGCTTACCTGACAATATAAAAAATATAAGTAATTTTAATTCATTTAAAAAACATTTGAAATTATTTCTCACCAACAGACCCTTGTATAAATTAGAAGATTTTTTCCAACTTCCTGAAATTTGATTTTTTTTATAATAACAATGTTCTTTGTAAGTAGTCTTAAGTTTAATATTGTGTTTTTATAACTGACTCCATTCTGTACAAAATGTGCAATATGAATAAAGTTATTTTGATTGATTGATTGATTGATTGATCATTAGCTTTTGGATAAATGGTCTTCGATAAAGAACTACCTAATCTTAACCAGTAACTAAGCTATAATTTTTAAACCATTCAACGCTCATTCCTCAGTCGTCTTCACCTTAAAATTTCTACCCAAACAGCTAAAGGTACATACTGCACAAGGTTTTTTTACCTATGATCTAAAATATTCCAGTTTGTAGAAATGTTTCCTATAACTTTTTTACCGTATGTCTACAGGTACAAAAGAGTTGCTACACACATTCTGCGGGTCGCCTCCATACGCTGCCCCAGAGCTGTTCCGTGACGCCTCCTACGTAGGAGGTCCTGTAGATGCTTGGGCACTGGGTGTCCTGCTGTTCTTCATGACCACAGGACACATGCCTTTCCCAGCTGACTCCATAGCAGGCCTCAAGAGAAGCATACTGCTAGGCGTCATTACCGTTCCTCCCCATTTGTCTCTGCCATGCAGAACACTCGTGCGTGAGTATCTTCTTGAATCTCGTTTATCAATTTTTTTTTTTTAGCCTGAGTAAAAAGCAAATTATTTATATGGCTGTACAGCTCTAAATGAGGTAAGAGAAAGCACTCTTGAAAGCATGAAAAGGAGCAGATACTTACCTCAGGCAGGTCAGGTACTTAGTTCTTTAAGCAGGTCAGGTTTTAAGGGTTCTGAGGCACCAAACATGGAGTGCAAAAAGCCCACAACACATGGCTGAGTTTTGCCTAGTAACAGAATTCACCCTGTCTCAATCAAACAATCAAGTTGTCTGTTAGAGTGCAGTCTTTTATGGTTACAGTTTGTGTAATGATTTCACTACTGGATTTGTGCTTTATTAAGAACTACACATTTACCAAAGAACAGTCTTTTTACAAGAGCAACCCTCATAAAACAGGTTACAAAAGAACAGTTTCTTTTTACAGGAGCTATTTTGAGACAGACCCCGAAGGATCGACTGACTGTAGACCAGATCCTAGAGGCAGAATGGCTCAAGGATGCTGTGGTGAAAACTCAACCTGCGTGTGAACCTTGGAGTATGCTACCTACCGTGAGTCTCTTTGTTGACTTTACTATGTTAGATGCGAGTGTGAATTACAGTTGGAACTCTTCACTCCGGCACTATCAGGGTTTTGTCAGTGCCAAGTCACCAAAAACTATTACGATGCTGTAAAAAATACCACTATCATAAAAAGTCAGGTCATTTTTATGAATTGGTGCACTGTTCTGAAAACTTACGACTTCAGCCAATTGACTGCCACATTATCTAAGAGCGCTCAAACTGCTTAACTCCCATGGAAATAATTTTTTGTGGGAAACCCCTCTTAGACTATTACAGATAATCACATTTTCCTTACTATCAGTTTGGTGTGTCAGAGTATTGTGGTTACTGCAGTAATAACAGTCATAGCTACTTACATCTTGTATGTACAGGTGTCACTGGAGACTACACTCAGTGACATAGAGAGTGTGGCTCGTGAGAGACTGGCAGTGATGGGTGTCACCTCAGACATGTTGGCCACTGAGAGACACCTAGGAGGCCGCAGCCCAGTCATAGCTACTTACATCTTGTATGTGCAGGTGACACTGGAGACTACACTCAGTGACATAGAGAGTGTGGCTCGTGAGAGACTGGCAGTGATGGGTGTCACATCAGACATGTTGGCCACTGAGAGACACCTAGGAGGTCCCCCAGTCATAGCTACTTACATCTTGTATGTGCAGGTGACACTGGAGACTACACTCAGTGACATAGAGAGTGTGGCTCATGAGAGACTGGCAGTGATGGGTGTCACCTCAGACATGTTGACCACCGAGAGACACCTAGGAGGTCAACCAGTCATAGCTTACATCTTGTATGTACAGGTGTCACTGGAGACTACACTCAGTGACATAGAGAGAGTAGCTCATGAAAGACTGGCAGTGATGGGTGTCACATCAGACATGTTGACCACTGAGAGACACCTAGGAGGTCCCCCAGTCATAGCTTACATCTTGTATGTACAGGTGTCACTGGAGACTACACTCAGTGACATAGAGAGAGTAGCTCATGAAAGACTGGCAGTGATGGGTGTCACATCAGACATGTTGACCACTGAGAGACACCTAGGAGGTCCCCCAGTCATAGCTTACATCTTGTATGTGCAGGTGACACTGGAGACTACACTCAGTGACATAGAGAGTGTGGCTCGTGAGAGACTGGCAGTGATGGGTGTCACATCAGACATGTTGACCACTGAGAGATACCTAGGAGGTCCCCCAGTCATAGCTTACATCTTGTATGTACAGGTGTCACTGGAGACTACACTCAGTGACATAGAGAGTGTGGCTCATGAGAGACTGGCAGTGATGGGTGTCACATCAGACATGTTGACCACTGAGAGACACCTAGGAGGTCCCCCAGTCATAGCTTACATCTTGTATGTGCAGATGTCACTGGAGACTACACTCAGTGACATAGAGAGTGTGGCTCGTGAGAGACTGGCAGTGATGGGTGTCACATCAGACATGTTGACCACTGAGAGATACCTAGGAGGTCCCCCAGTCATAGCTTACATCTTGTATGTACAGGTGTCACTGGAGACTACACTCAGTGACATAGAGAGTGTGGCTCATGAGAGACTGGCAGTGATGGGTGTCACATCAGACATGTTGACCACTAAGAGACACCTAGGAGGTCCCCCAGTCATAGCTTACATCTTGTATGTGCAGGTGTCACTGGAGACTACACTCAGTGACATAGAGAGTGTGGCTCGTGAGAGACTGGCAGTGATGGGTGTCACCTCAGACATGTTGGCCACTGAGAGACACCTAGGAGGCCGCAGCCCAGTCATCGCTACTTACAGGATCGTAGTACATAGACTACAGAACAATGCTCAGCTACCACCTATTACCTCCCCACCTAAAGTTCCAAAGTCTAGGACTTGTACTGTTTTATAAGTATTCATAGATGTTAAGTATAATTTGGTACAAGTGACCGAACCATATCCAACCTCAGGATAGCTGATTATTTTATAAGTAGACTGATGTGTTTCCGTTGGTTTTCAAACAGGTAATGTTTGGTTGTTTTGAATCTTAAGAAATTTCTTTAACAGGTTAAAGAAGTAAAAGAACTAAATCTGTTTTTCGGTGTTTAGGGTAAGTAACCTTTTGAAATTTTTTACAAGTGTTGTCTGTAAAGGCTTCATCTAGCTTGTCCAAACAAGTTGGCTCAAATATGGAACCAGTGCTGTGTTAGTTATTTCATTCACAAATATTCTAGTTGTTTTTCACCCCTGTGTGACAATTAGTTCTGTCATAGCTACCAGTGGCGGTTTTACGACCTTGTCAACGGGGACGTTATTGGGGACCCCAAGAAAGGAGGGTGGTCCTTAAGGGGGGTTCTTTCCTCATTTTTTTTTTATTTAAAGCCATTTGGTGATTTTTAAAATCAATTTTTAATATCTTGAACTTTGTCTAAAAACCTCACGGTTCACCTGTTACCTGTGTTAACTATAAGCTTCAGCCACTGTAGCCCTCCTTAGAACAGCTACTGATAGCAGCCAAAAACTCTGCAATGGGAAATCGGCGCTCTCGCCAAGTATGAATTACATTCTATCATTAGATTTCTTTGGTCAATCTTATGAAGCATTAATAAAGTCACCAGTGATAGAAGTGAATGAGGCAGTCTTATGTAGAAATTGTGGGACATTATCGTCTTAAAGATGTTTTGCACAGTGTAGGAGGGCTGTGGTTGTTCTTCAGATGTGATTGAGGCAGTGACCAAAGTCAAGGGAAGTTTCCGGATCGCAGTGAGACAGGACAAGGGATTACCAAATTGATATAGAATGTCTCTATAAGAATATCAAGGTTAACGGTAAACCCTGGTAGTATATAACATGTTGATCAGCAAGCAAAGTTTTTTTTTAAATTTGAGTAACTCTCTCGGTAGAAACTGATTGACTGTAAACGACCCACTATTGCAAATTTTTACGTTCAAACATTTTTCTGCATACATGTCCTTCTTGGCAACAAATTTTAATAATAATGTTTAATCCCTTTTCCTCAGAAACCTAATAACACAACATGATTCATACTTTGCCGGAGCGTCGAGTGTCCTTTGCATTGTTGTTGACTACTATGACTAATAGTTATATAGATTTAGAGACCGGCCAGAATAGTAGTGGAATGAACCCACTGTTTAGTGTCAGATTTGATCAAGGTTTCTCGGTTGCGACGGGAGGTCTATTGAAGCCTTCATTTACGAACTCTCGTAAATTGTATATACTTAATAAACAAATAACATTAAAGGCTGTAAAAGTCTGTTTGCTTAAAGTAATAATACTCATTAGTAACAGTAAAACCAGTACCTATCTTTAAACCCATGCTGATGTAAAATTAATTCCGATAGTCAAATAAGGAAAAAAATATATTTCACTCTAGGTCAAGGGATATGATCAAGGGTAAAAGTATTACTTGTCAAAATTGAAGTTAGTACAAATGATTAGGCCTACATATTGGTTAATGGATAATACACACAGCAATATTAGATACCTTTTTTTTTACCTAACCCTAACGTTAACTTAAACCTGTTTAGTATAGTACAACGGTTACAATGACATTTTAGACCATGACTGTTTGTGTATGAGCTATATCCTACAACTATTTTTGTAAGGGTTACTGATAGTAAGGGTGCATTCACAAAGAAAGCTGGTTACAAGTAACTTAGGGTGCGTTCACAAAGAAAGCTTGTTACAAGCACTTGTTGGCAAGCGCTTGCAAGCTCGAACCGGCGTGAAAAAAGTCAACATAGTATCAAGCGTGTGCGTTCACAGACAAAGCTTGTGCCGGCTAGCAAGCGCTTGTTACAAGCTCTGACAAGCACGCAAGAACGTTTCGTACTTGTTTTCCGGCGCTTGTTGGCCGAACCAGTCAAAATCAGTTACCAACTACAGTACTAACAGTTCAGTATGGATGTCGATGAGTTGATAGCTCAAGTATTTAGAGCTTCCAATAAAAAAAAATATATATATCACACGTATTGTGGTTTTTCCCTAGAATGTTCAATAACGCAACCAATAGGACAAATGTAACATTAATGTATTAAGATGATAGACGAACACATTTAATTCAATATTAATTAAGTGTTGGATTTTTTATAGATGAAACTTGTATGCTTTTATTTTATTCACCTAGAAAATTAAAACATTTGAATGTATCTCACAATATTATTTGCATCATAATTAATCAGCTACATAGGGCGTTTAAAACTCCCCTCGAGTATTTTTTAGGTTTTGTTATTGGTCCAAAATTCGTTCTGGTGCATGGATAGGTTGCTTATTCCTATTCCCCCAAAACTGCAATAAAACACTTTCAATTTTCTTGAGGATGTAATTAAACGTGGTTAACTCCATTCTCGTATAAGAAAAAACCTCTTTTTGTCCAATTTCAATTGAGGAAATAGATGGTGGTATTCCCCTAACCTACCTCTTCCGCGGTTAATTGCATGAACATCTACTTTCCTTCTACGAATTTTTAATTCTAAATTTTCAATCAAAATTAACTCTCCATCACTTGAGGAAGGTATTGTCTCAACCAGAGCTGAGACTACACTGAGCTTGAAATGCAAGCGTTTGTTGTGAACACACAACAGCATTCTCAAGCGCTTGGAACAAGCGCTGAAAGTAAGTTACTTGTAACCAGCTTTCTTTGTGAACGCACCCTTACTTTCAGCGCTTGTTCCAAGCGCTTGAGAATGCTGTTGTATGTTCACAATAAACGCTTGCATTTCAAGCTCAGTGTAGTTGTAGTCTCAGCTCTGGTTTAGACAATATCTTCTTTAAGTGATGAAGAGTTATTTTTTATTGAACATGTAGAATTAAAAATTCGTAGAAGGAAGGTGTTCATGCAATTAACCGCGGAAGAGGTAGGTTCGAGGAATACCACCATCTTATTTCCTCAATTTAAATTGGACAAAGTGAGGTGTTTTTCTTATAGGAGAATGGAGTTAACGCTTAATTACATCCTCAAGAAAATTTAAAGTGTTTTAGTGAAGCTTTCGAGGAATTGGCATAAGCAACCTATCTATGCACGATTTTCTCTTTCGATAAAAAGTTGAATATATAAGATTAGATTTTTGCATATAGCTGAAACCCGATACATAAAATCAGATTGAACATTGTATTGGTATTAAAATAATGGCAACCTCTTTTATGCATATGTTTTATCACTGCATATAGCTTTTAGAAAACTTGTACCATATAATTTTGCTGGTCATTTTTTACTTATTTATTGTTCTAGCCTAATGTGCAAGACTGCAAAAGTAATGAGAATCTATTAATATTTAATTAGGATACCCACCATACTTACTTGTTGTATTATTATGACTAAAATTATTTCACTTAGTATTATTAAAATTCATTCAATTTAAAATACATTTTATATCTTCAGCTCATAGTCGTATCAACATTTTACTAGTTGTGTGTAAATAGTTCATGTATAACATATGAATATATTAACTCTTATATGTATATGCATGTAAATATTATTGTATACTGTGAGATATGAATGTTTAAAATGTTCCTGTAATTGTAATTTTATAGTTTTGTATTGATTTTTGTAATAGTATGTTTCTAGAATGGGAGATGTAAGTAAAAAGTGTATGTTAAGACATTTTTAAGATTCAGCAAATGAAGAATGTTCTTATGCAAATTTTTTTTGTTAATTAATTGAAAAGTTTGTATTTTGCAAGTGTTAGGATTTAAGTCTGTTAGAATGGTCATGCAGAATAAATAAAAGAAAATGCTCTTATTTTTTTCATTTTAAAAATGCTCTTATTTTTTTATTTTAAAAATTAACTCTATTATTTTTAGAATCACGGATTCATAAAAGATTTTCATTGAAATTAATCAAAGACGCAAGAGCAATTTAGTAATCATAAAAAATGAATCACAGTACAGTCATTCTTGTAAAAACTAAGTAACGCGTAGTATCTTTCAGCAAACATTTTTATTTTATTACAAATTTTATATGAATATTTTATTGCTGAGCTTTATGATTTATATTAGTGTTTAAACCCTACTAATGTAAAATAAACTATTGACTTAGCTGAAAAATGATTGCCTTACAGGGTGTCTCAATTTGAAAGATATTGGTGTAGTTCAGGAACGTTTGTGTACCAGGAAATACTCAATTTTAATGTTACCCTCATGTAAATTGTTGGTTTAGAAGTTCCTATAACCTATTTAATTTAGTACCATTTTTAAAACATGCAAACTTAAATAAATGCTGTTAAACTAATGATGTTGATTTTATTTCAACATTTTACCATGTCAAACGTGTGTTTATAACAAATCATAATGTAATGTAGCCATTGTGAATCCCAAGTATACATTTGTTGTAAAATTACATTAAACAACTTTAGATACATTGTATTGAGGTAACCGCTTCAGCCATAGAGCTTACTCATGAATATAATTATGCAAATTTTTATCATAATGTTACCTCTTTCAGTTTTCAATTTGTCTCAATGTACTATAATCTCTCAATGTATAATTTCCTCTGGTAAAACCTTTGTTTTGTAAGTCTGAAAGGCTTTGTGCGTATTTGTGAGATGTTTGCATAATGATTATGAAAAGTGAAGCACCTTTCTAAGTAATGAGCTCTCTTGTTGTGAGAGGCGAGGTGCTAATTTGGCTACGGAGTTTCACCGTTGCAGTGGTCAAGAAGAAATTAAAGCTAATTTACATATGCAAGTCTTAGCTATTTAACACCACTGACTGGTAAACTTGCAGTTAGAAGAGAGCCAACCTACATATCATGAAGCTGCTTATCCAGGTGAGTGCTTAACATGTTTGGAACAATTTGGTTATTTTGAATCACTTCTTGATATTGATTGATTGCCTATAGTCTATTTTGGTTAAGATTACTAAATCTTAACCAAATAAGATCTTAGCGGAGCTTTTTGAAGGTATGGAATTTGTTTATGAATTTGGTATTTTTTTTATTTTGATGCAGTATGATGAGCGTGTACTGCAAAACAATCCCCCTGAACAATTTACAATTTATTGTCTACTGATTCATTAGGATGAAAAATCCAGAAGGGAATGTGTTTCATATATATCAAACATCCCCTCATTTTGATTTTATAGAGTCTGAAGTATAGACTGAGATTAGAATGGTAACATAAAAATACAAATAGTAAAATTAACCGGTTTTATAGATCCACCCTATTGTCATCTTGGGTTTATCAAATTTCTCAACCTAACATGCTATGATCATGCATTTTACTTTTATATTCATTGGTTACTTTTCTAGTGCCACTCACTCATGTGAAAACAAACTGTACGTTTCTATTAAATTATAAACTATTCTGTATTTCCAGGGGTTTTTGGCAGTGCTTCTACTGACTTCAGAAACGTTTGCATCATTTGAAATACCTTCAGATGACAGGTAGGTATCTTAATATTCTTAATTGACTTTATACACTTATAAGTAAACGACCATTTATGTGGACTATCTCTTAACGAAGTATAGTCTTGCCATGGTATTATTATATTTTTATTTGGTTCAATAATTTAAATATTTCACTTCCTGTACCTATTTTTGTATTCTGAAAACATATATACATTACTCTCTGGTTTTTCAGTGACTTGACAAAATCAATATTGGAGGAGAATCCTTCTTCAGGAGTTCAGTTCTATAGTGATAGCGACAGCGAGGAAGAAACTTCAGTAAAAAGGTAATTTTGTAGTTATTTTTACTTGAACGGTCAGAATGAGAGTAGTAACACAACCAAGCGGTCAGAAATTAAAGAATATTCCAAAGACTCTGAGTTTAAATGTGGATCTACTATGTAAATCTACTAAAATAAAAACACACGTGGTGTTAATTTTTTTTATTTTATTTTATAGTACAGTATTATTATTGTTTAATTGTTGTATTCATGATATATTTTAAACAATATCTTAAAAAAAAACCATAACAGTTTCTATGCGTGTGATTTCCCACAACATATTTTTTGGGGTCTGTCTGAATGGGGTTTTTTCCCAAAAATTGTAAATCAATCACTTGATGGATTTTCTTGACTTTTGAGAGGAGGGGAATGTCAAAAGATGCGTGAACTGGTTTATTGTGCAATGGAAGGTAATATGTACTTGTAATTAGAGTGGAAATTAGCCCCAATTTCTCTTCAAGGCTTTTCCTACATATAAAAACAATGTTGCTCTTTTTTTATCATTGGATTTAGAATGTGTTTTATATTGAAACTCGGTGGCTAAGTAACATTTGTTTACAAGGTAATTTTTCACCCTAAACCTTTCATAATTAGTTGTTACACAGGTTAATAATATGTTAGGATTTTTTGAGAGGATAGCAGACTTTTTTCCCATTCAGGTCAAAAAAAAAAATCCTAAAAACCTAGGCCCTTGTGCTCTATGCTACACCCTTAGGTTAATAAGTTGCTATTTTCTGTCTCTAGCTCTTGAGAATAATCACTTGTGTAAACCATCTGTTTTGAATCAAATAGAGTTTTTACTGAATACTTGATTCCTGTGAGTAGGACGGGCTACAGCTAATTTCTTAGTCTGAATACTGAAAATTATCAATTCTTTTAAAGTTACAGTGACACACAATTATCAGATTCATACGGACAGCCCCCCGCAGAGCCGTACAATGAGCATCTATCAGTCCTTGATGTCATATTAAGAAAAAGGTATGAGTCAGTGGAAACAACTAAATCGTGAATAGCTTAGAGAAAATAATATTTGAGTCATGTGTGAAATCAATATCGAGGTGAAGAATAGGTATTATCTGTAATTGGGAGACCCAAATCTTCTACACTTGATAAGATAGTGCATGATTTCATTGTGGTACTTAACAATTATGAAACTTCCAGATAGGAACAAGGGTCTAATCTTTAACTTTGGTCTTTTGAACGGTGTGACACTATTCATAAGAAAAAAATTAACTGAAATCTGTACGGTTAGGAACTATTCTAGTCAGGCACTTTATCGAGAATGTTACAATGTTCATTCTAAAAGAAATAACTAAACTTGAAAAACCTTCAACTTATTGTCAAAGTAGTATGCATGCACTATCTTAGTTTTATTCATCAATACCAAATATTCTCTCTGACTACATTGGTCAATATCTTATAAATACATCCTTGAAAGTACCACATAAAAGGGTAGCTGAGTAGTTATACTGCTCGCCTACTATTCATAAGGTCGCCGGTTCGATCCTGAGCAAAGTCAGTAGCTTTTTGATGGTTCGAAACTGGACCCAGCTGTTCCTGATCATTGAGCTTTAAATAAATGATCCTGGCTAATGAAACAGCTGTTCTTAGTCAGTAACAAAGCTACACAGTTCATCACACACCATTCTACACTCATCCTTCGCTCACATTTGGGTTAAAATACGCACCTATGTAGCGTCCCCATCTTAATGATTGATAATTGATAATTATATACTACAGTTTTGACACTGCATGTATCAGAGTTATTCTAGAAAAAAGAGAACATATTGATAACGATAAGTCTAACATTGAATCTTGTGTGGTTAAAGTGCTTGTGTAATCAAATGTTTTCCAGTTCTATCCTGCAAAAGTCAGAATATTTCCTATTATTGATTTAAAATGGACAAATATGTCTTTTATTACTTTTGTTTTGATTAAGGAAGCTTGCCAAAGAAACAGCTGATTCAAGAGAACAAAACTATCCATCTCGTCCATAACTAATGTTCCCCTTCTAAATACCTACACACTCTGGTGTACTGACTTATCAACCCAATCTAATCCAAGTTGCAGGGATTTCTTGTGACGATAGTAGGCTTTCCCGAATGAATAAGAGTTCAATGAGACACAAGAAACACAACACTTTACACAAACATAAAACATTAGAATAGTTTACTGTCTTTGGCAGCATTTTAATCTAAGGTGCTGAGAAATAGCTGTCATTGACAGCAAAATATTAAAATTTTGTCCGTCCTGTTTCTTTTTCTTTATGCCAGATTATAATACTCTTTACTATTCAGGTACGACTGCTTTGTCCTAAAAAACACTAGAAAAATCCTAGGCTCTTGTGCTTTTTTACATTCTCAACCTCAATGCAGATTATGTAATCCATTTTTTAGCCAAACTGATAGTGATTGGACTTTTATTTTGTATTCCAGACGCACAGAAGCCTCTGTAAAACCAGAAGAGAAGGTGTTGGACTTTCCACGCGCAGACAATCCCCCAATAAAGGATTATGCTTCTGAATACATCTCAAGTAACAATCCTCCGAGCATTCAAGGGGGAAACGCAGAAAAGGCTTCAAAAGAGGAAAGACCTCATTTGAAACCAATTTTATTTAAAATAGAGTCATCGACCAACCGAGACGATAGTGTTGCTAAAGATAAGCAGTTAGAGGATGATAAACCAGAGGAGGAATCGGTCAAAATAATCCTCAATCCCTTGATTCAAGCTTCTCCATGAATCATTAACAGTATGATTTAGTCATCATAGTACATTGATTGTTATGTTGTTTTATTTTAAGTGTTATTTTTGAAGTGTTTTTTTTATTTTAGAAAATTTGAATACAAGTTTTGAAAATTCAAATAGTTTTATGTTTATGTTTTATACTTTTGTAAATTAATTATAATTATATAATTTAAAATCTATTGCACTTTGGTTAGTTGTTAAATAGGCTGCTGTTGTTATTTTTGGAAAAATTAGGTTTTTACTATGAATAAACATTTTGTAGATTGTATGTAGATTGTTGTTGTTTTGTAACATGGTCCATTTACCTACATACAGTATTATCAGTCAATCGTTGATGTTTGTCAGCTTTTGTTTGCTTTTACCTTAGTACTCATGGTAAGACCTGGACCCGGGACAGATTTAATTTTTCGTTTTGAGGCCCCTAGAGGCCAAAAACACCATCCGTTCAAATTCTCGTGTATATATATTTATATATTATTCTTGAGGATTTCTTGATAGAGTTATGATAAATGAGACATGAAACATTTCAAATTTTCGTTTAATACAAACGTCTTCACGCAAAGAGACATCAATGAAATATGTGAAAATGAACAAAACAAATCAATATGAACGGTTTACAAATAGGTCGTTGAATTTTGAGAGCAAATGATTGAGTACAGATCAAGGAAAATAATAAAATCAGCCTAAAAGAAAATTAAAATTCAGCTGAGTTGAATCACTTATTTACTATCTTAAATTTAAACCAGAGGGGATCTTTGTTTTCAGTACCAACTGTTGAGCCAATTCAGAATTTCCAGTTGGTTGCATTTAGGGTTTTGATGTGGGTTTACTTTGTGAAGGGCTTTAAGGATATAGCAGCCTTCAAAATTTTGGTTGTGGTGAGCGGCATTATAGATTGGTTTTCTTTTGTCTTCATGTACAGATAGTGTCACGGTGCGTGGCGACTCGCTGGAGCATGCGCACTGAGAGCTTTCCCCCATTACGCCTCGATGTACGGTAAAGTCACATTCAAATACTGAAGTTGTGAACTAGCATCAGCTGTCAAATTAGTTTGCTTTATGTTTACGTTTTTTTTATTTTTCTGTCTCTCTCGCAGTGCCTCCCCTACACGCCAAGCACGGTGAAACGGTCTGTACCACATCAAAACGATGGCCTGTCATTCGAACTCTAAAAGAGTTTGAAGTCTGGCCAATGTATTCTTTTGGACAATGTTTACACGACAGTTGATAAATCACATTGTGAGTTTCACAAGTTGATCTACCAACCATCGGATGAACCTTGTTTGTAACTTTGCTATCAAATTCAGTTGTACTACTCATAATTTTGCAAATACCACATCGGGGCTTGTGACATGGTTCACAGCCGTGTTTAGAATTGTTTAAAGGCCGAGAATTTTGAATTTTGGGTCTCACCAACATATTTTCAAATTTTGTGGCCTCCTAAAAATAACACGATGTGGTCTGGAAAATAAATTTTCAGTACTGGGAGAAGATTCAAAACATTGAATGCTACTTTCATTACACTATTCCATCATATTTATGTTCTCTGAAAAAATATTTACAATATTATTTAGCTTTCTAAATTATATAAAATTTTCTGGTAAAGCTGTTTAAAGTAAAAAAAATAATAAAAAGTATAAACGGGTTTTAAGCGAAATTATCACCCACAAAGGAGAATTTACTCCTGTGTGTGGGATATAGTTGTTAAAGACATGTTTATGTTCACATATTAGATCATTTCCATGTTTAATCCAGTGTTACCTCAGAGGCCACTGTGGTGGGGCTGATGGGGCTGAAGTGGCAACTTAGCGCGTCGTGTGTAAACAAGGACGAGTTTATTTTAAAAAAAAATGTTTGACATAGTAAAAAACGACACACTTAAAAAATTGTTCTAATTTATGTAAGTGAAATCAAAACTTTTGCAGTGCTCAGTACTTCATTTACCTACCTGAGGAAATATTCTAACCTTCACTGGATGGTTGGGTTTATATGGTTAAAAAAGGGTTAACACATAACCCTTTTTTAAAGGCAGTTAGGTTGAAAAATAAGTAATTTAAACATATTTCATCCGTACTTCTATGTGACTAAGAAGTACGCACAATATGTTTATCTTATGAAGTTGTATGATCTAGGAAGGTTGAGAATCTATTCTATTGTTGACAGGTCAGTGAGATGGGCCGCAGAGGTTGGCAAGATCTGTCAGTGGTACCAACACGCGAGCGCCTCCACCACAGTCTGCGTCAGCTGATAACTTTCCTAGCTACCCCAACTACTCTTCTGAAAAGTCGTCGCTTCTTGTTGACAGAAACTTAAAGCAAAGGTAAGGTTAAGGTTTTTGCGCATGGATCCGTAGTTTGTGTACAAGGCAATCAAGTTCCTCTCTGTATACTGGTATAATTTGTGAACAGAATATAATCATTTGCAGTTTTGTAGGTGACGTGTACGCTTCGCTGTGTGTTCAGATTTTTTTTTTATAGAAACTCCCCCATTGCATACAAGATAAAGTCAGTGATACTTTTTTTTACCACAACAAACATATCTGATGCCAACATCGCCAGATGACAGAAGGTCCCCAGTGCAAAGAGTGAGGGTTAAGTGCGTAAATGGGTTATGATTTAGGAAGTTAAAAAATTCTTTCTGAAATTGACATTGTCACTGCCCTTTTTTGAACTCCCTTACCCATTTCTGCACTTCGCTCATTGCACTGTGGCCACCACCCATCAGTCATCTGGTGGTGAATATTGGTATCATATATGTTTGTTGTGGTCAAAATCACGTATTATTGATCTTATCTTGCATGAAGCAGGATATTCAATAATCTTTGAACAATCTTAACCCACAGGGAAGCGTAAACGTCACCTACAGAGCTGCAGATGGTTCCATTCTGTTAGCAAATTATGCCAGTATATAGCAAGGAGCCTTGTGGTGGCGTAAATGTGAGGTATACAAAAAAAACCTTCATTTATAAAACAACCCTCGTATCAATAATTTTGGTTTACATCGGGATGGATGTGATGTAAAAATCACATTTCTCTTATTTAAACAGATTAGAAAACTAATATTAAAACACTATCATCACTGCTACATTGCTGAATGAGAATGAGAATGATTTATTTCCTGAAAGCATTAATTATAAATATGTACAAGGAAACGTCAATACATCAAAATCTTAGTCTAAGCCCGCAACACACAATGCAGAGAATTGAAAAACAAAAAGAAAACTTATTTATCATCACACATTGGCACTCATTGGCTAAAAAAACTTTCTTACTTGGCCAGGTGAAATTTCAAAATACTCTTTGAATGAGTAAATCGGATTTGCCAACAGAAGAGATTCCATCCCCTTTTTGAATTTTGCTTCCGGCAGGTTCTGAGCTGTACAAGGGAGTTTGTAAAAAAACTGATATCTCTGTATACAATAGCTAGATTTGACCTATTGTAGGACAAAATAAGGTAACATTTGATCCTTAATTATACCTTCAAAAATCTTAGTACCAAACACAGGGAGAATAGATACAGGTCTAAAATTTTCAGAAACATTATGGTTCCCCTTTTTAGGACAGCTTTAGACAGCAATGTTTTTTTAAATTTATGACAACAGCTAATTTGCAACCAAAAGGCGAGTTAGCGTAGCGAACGACCTAACCTGAAGGCAAGTGAGCGCAGCGAATGAGCTCATCTTAAAAATGAACGAGCGTTTTACATAAATCGCTATTTAGGACAGGACGACGTCTGTCGGGCCAGCTAGTGTAACCTATATCAAACTGATGATTTAAAAAAAATAAAAATTGATATCATGATTAAATATTTGAAAAAAGTTATACAATTCATTACACAATTCAATACAATTCAATAAGTGAATTCAGCCTAATTATTACCAAACACATAATTAAAAAATATTAAATTAAGCTAATTATGTCATAGATTTCCCAAAAATTAAGCATAATCAAAAATTAAACTGGAATGTCTGTCATTAATACATTTTAAAATGCAATTGATCACAAATTTTCATAACCTATTTTATACTATTTGTTGATGCAGTTTTGAAGGATAACTTTTATAGCAGTGTCGACACGAGTGTCATGACGTTTGCTCAGAATATTATGCATTTCTTAAAACTGTTAAAATGATAAAGTTTCATATACAACCAAGTTCACACATTAATTGCCAGAAAACAACATGTTGCATTATCAATAATTTTTTGTTTTTGTTGTATTTTGTTTGAACATATTTATGTTGTAGTACAGTAGGCTACTACATCAAGGTGATAAGATTTAGTTATGTTTCTGGAATGTTAATTGAATGTATACTGTTATCATATCACCTAACAAAATAGTTGATAATGAGTCAAAATTGCAAAGTGACTAAAGGTTGCTTGAGATTATTCAAACATGAATCATTAGTTTTATCCCAATCTTTTAAGGTTTAAATTTGAGCCTCATAGATCTACAAATGCTTGAGAAAAACTATACATGTAGATGTAATACAATGAGGGGGTTTCTTCACCTCTTTCAGCTGTCCTGCCAACCGATTTTTACCGATTAAGGAAGGTGTCATTGTAAAGCTTTATGGCGAATGTTTAACCACAGTCAGATTGTAAACAAAAGACAAAACAGTTTATGAAAATGGATGTTAATCGACTTCTAATTTATACTGTAACCAATCTGAAACCACTCATCCATCATGTTGTAGATCTAAAAGCCACAACTTTATAAAGGAAATTGGTATCGTTATTATTTACTATAACTGTCTCGAACAGACTTAATCTTTCAAAAGTAAAAGGATATTGCATTATTTGTTTTGGGTCAAAGACAACTAAAATTTGCAATATACAGGTCTTCTCACCTTTAGACCTACAAATGCTTGAGAAAAAAATGTATACAGTATCTACTTTGGTGAATTTAAACGAATTTAAAAGAAAACGTTGATGAATATCCCCCCGAAAAATTTGTGTATATTAAGTCCCCAAAATGGCAGTTTTATACCATTTCTTTGTCCAAAGTTAGTGTGACAAATTATTGTACGCAATCTGTATGCACTACTGTATTACATGCAGTAAAAAAATATATGTATGCCCGAGGGGGGGGGGGCGGTCACCCCCTCTGTATCTGCCACTGCAAAATAATTACATCCAAAAATAACCTTTCTAACCTTGCATAGTTAATCAATTGTTATCCGTTAATTAAACTACATTCCTGCATTATCAGTTAGTTTTCCGCAGCAGGTTAGCCAGGCTCAGATGTGTTTGTTGTGTGACGACACAGTCCCCTGATAAACCCAGATAACCGTGGCTGCTGATAACAGAACACACCTGTGCTGGTTGCCACCGAGAACACGTGATGTGAAGTGAGATGGTGCCTCAGGAGTTCCGCAAGAATCTGTGCGTCATTGCCGGATGGGTGTCTTTGGTAAGTTTTGAAAAATTGTGTAATTTTTCCACCTAGTATTATGATATTTTTGTTTGATCTCCTTCCACGGATGTGTTTAAGATTATGTTTCATAAAACTTCAAAAGTGTTTGTTTTTCACTTAGTACAGGTTAGATACATTTTCAAAACATAGTTGTATGGATTTTATCTAACATGATTTTTATCAGTTGAGTCACAGTTGACTTCTGTCCAGTACGAATATTTACTGCAACCAACACATTACTGGCACATACCACATTCCTTCCTCTAAAACAGTAACTAAACTGCAGGTGTAAGTAACCCAAAAATATCTGACATGAGTTTCTGCATACTTTTAGGTTGGAAAGTACAATTTCACATATTTATGAATTAAGTAAAAATATCTTAAACAATTATAACATAAAATTGTGTTAAAAAACTAGAATGTCTATTTATATCTAAATTTGTACAGCAATACCGGTGCATATTATCCTTCAAACAAAAATCATTGAAATATTGTTGAATAAAGTTGTACCATATTTAATTTTATTTACATATGTCATTGTCTGAACTTTGCTTTTGACAGCTTATGTTTTAAACTCTTTCTTAAAGTAAAGTGAATTCTGTCAACACAGTATGAAAACAATGACAAAAATCCAAACATAATTATGAATGGCACAAATGAATTGGAAAACAAATGTGAATATCTTGTATTTGTCTGTTAGCTGACAATTTGTTACCAATTGTAGCCTTTTGACCAAAACAGTTTAATATTGTCAACCAACCTTGTTCCAATAAAAGAGTGCAATTTAAACATAAGGTCAAAATACACAACTTGATTGGGGCATATTACATACAAGTATTATATGCCTTTATCATTCTAACAACAAATCATCAACTTCCTTTTTGACAACTTCTATAGACAAAAACATGTTCATTCATAAATCCCCCAATACATTGAAATATTATATTCACGTATATTCACGTATAATCACGTAATTTCAATTTTGCTACAATGATTGTAATAATGTTTTTTGTGGCAAATATAAAGTGATTGGGATATAGATAGTGTTATAAAATATACTTGAAACATTTTAGCTGCATTAACGATTTTCTTTATGATGGAATAATGGAAACCATTTGTGTGGCTTGGCTAGTTCCTTGAAACCTATTTCACCTTCATTGTTTGTAGATTAGATATTACAATCAATATCCATTGATTATTTCAACAATTTTATATCACTACCAAGATTAGATTTAACTTGAAACCAAGCAAGTATGATAGTTATGATTCAAACATGACTCTTGAAATAGGCTCTTACTTATTACTTAGGTATTTTTTACGTTTTTAAACACTAAAATTCTAAATAATTAAATAGGTATGATGGCTATAAATAAAAGTAATCCACTCACATATTATCACAAACAATTTGAACAGTTAATCCAACTAACATTATAGCACCGTATGGATCTTGGTGAGTCAGTATGATATTCCAATCTCGGAAAAACTAGAATCTAAATATTAATAGGCAAGCATGTTTCTTTAAAACCTTTTTCTCAGCTTGTGTGCATTGCAGGGAAAATGTACACATACTATTGGAAAGATATTTTCCTGTAGACGTGCAGAATCCCTTTATAAATTAAAATATGCCAAAAATAAGCACAAAAAAATGAATTTAAAATGAACAAAAATAACATGGCTTTATGGGTTGCCATGTTGGTGACGAAATAACAAGTAAATATAAACAGAAAATCACAAAAAATGGATCAAATTCCAATCACATGTTTTATTTACCGTGGGGTGCATATAGAAGTCTGTACACTAGATATCTTTGGTTGAGTTTTTGACCAATTACTACTATCTATAAATCTATAACTGTTTTTTTTTTTATCATTGATCTACAGCAAAGGTTAACCTTGATTGATGGTAACCTTTGACCAAATACATGAAAAAAAAATGTGTAAGTAGAATAAATAAGTCACAGTCACATGAAATAGCTCAAACAACTAATAATGATGAAGTAATAGCTATTTACCTTACAAGAGTAGTAAGAGCGTTTTTACATCACTCAGGTGAATGTTGTGCAATGAGCGGAAGCGAGTTGCATAATTTACCTAAGTCATGTAAACACGCTCTTGCGTAACAAAACGTACAAGATTTTACCTGATCCGACAATATACAGGAGGTTACAAACAATATTTTTCATTATCCATTTCACTCATCTTCAAACAGTAACGTTCATTTACAAACAAAAGCTAGGTTAGGAAAATTCTTCAAAATATAACAATAAAATTCAAGCGCACAGCTGATTTCTAGTGTTGAACGTGGTTGGCTCCATAGAGGTATATTTTTTAAGTTAAGCACTCAATGTTATTTAAATGGGTTTCATTACCTCACCGAGTGAGTTTTTTTTTAACTTTACATCACTCGAGAAGTAAAGAAGTTATATACATCACGCTTGGGATAGGGAAGTTTAACATGGCGGGTTAGGTAAAAGTATTTACATAACCCGCCATGTTAAACTTCCCTATCCCAAGCGTGATGTATACAACTTCCTTACTTCTCGAGTGATGTAATTTACCTAACCCGCCATGTTAAACTTCCCTATCCCAAGCGTGATGTATGCAACTTCCTTACTTCTCGAGTGATGTAAAGTATCAAAAACTCACTCGGTGATGTAAAGAAACCCATTTAAATAACATTGAGTGCTTAACTTAAAAAATATACCTCTATGGAGCCAACGACGTTCAACGCTAGAAATCAGCTGTGCGCTTGAATGTTATTGTTATGCTTTAAAGTATTTTCCTAACCTAGCTTTTGTTTGTAAAAGAACGTTACTGTTAGAAGATGAGTGAAATGGATAATGGAAAATATTGTACATAAACTCATGTATATTGTCGGGTCAGGTAAAATCTTGTACGTTACACGTTACGCAAGAGCGTGTTTACATCACTTAGGTGAATTATGCAACTCGCTTCTGCTCGTTGCACAACATTCACTTGCGTGATGTAAAAACGCTCTTACTACACTTGTAATGTAAATAGCTATTATACAATAAAAATCTGTTTTAAACTCAATCCTCAAACAAACTCTTCCCCTATTACTTGCAATGATTTACCAAATAATTTTCAATACCTCTCTAAATAATCATTGTCTTACAAAAACTCTGTTAGTAGACATAGACATAATAAGAGTTTTTTAAAACTTTATCCCTTGTCTGATAACTTGTGGTTAATTTTGTTATCGTTTTACCAGCTGGAGGCTTTGGTATGGGGTGCATTAGCCATCTACGGAGTCGGTGTTTATGGGTGTAGCTGGGGTTTCATCCATACCAACAAAGGACCTAATACATGGAGCATGCTCTATGTTACCTATTTTATGGGTAAGTAACTCCGTACATAAAATGTAGATAGCACAACTAAGAAAGAAGATTTTTGGAAAAGCGAAAAAGTAAATTTTCCATATAAAAGAGGTTGGCAATATTAAACTTGAATCTGTTTAAAACAACATGTTATGTGTTGAAACAGATAAAAAAATCAATTAAATTTAATTTAATTAATTAAATTGACGAAGTAAAGTATGAGGATAATCATTTTTGTACTGACATGTTTTCAGAGTTACTTTTCAAAAACTATTATTCTACTTGTATCAACTACCCTGTGACCGTTTTCTTTTCAATCAAATTTACACCCCATCTCCTTGCATCTTTAGACACAAGTATGTAGGTCGTAGGTATTGACTTTTGAAACTCAAGTTCCAACCCGTCTGTCTGGGCGTTGCAGCCAGTTTTTTACTCAAAGAGAACTTAAGAGAAGTCAAAGAATAAGAATTAGAATATCTTTATTGTCATGAAAGTACATTCTTTAACAACTAGCAAAGCTAGAACAGAATAGATGACATTGTCAATGCAGTAAAGTTATCATAATTAAATAGTTACACGTAGCAATAAGTATCTAGAGAAAAAATTTATAAAACCTCACAATAATAATTTTAAGAACATGAATTATCCCTTTACAAGTTGGTTTTCTAAAACTTATCATTTAAAAATGTGTCAACTGAACAATAATTTTTTTATCAAAAAATCCTTTAACTTTTTTCTAAAGCCGTTTCCTAATTTCCTTCAACTCGCTGGGTAGTTTATTGTACAGTTTCCTCCCCATATATTGTGGTGTCTTTTCATATAGCGTCAGATGGTGTCTTGGATACTGAAAATTTGCTTGAAATCTAGTTTCATGATGTATGTTGAGTTTTACATAAAATTTCAAAATTATTTTTAACAAACATCAGACATCTTAAAATAAAATATATCTAGGCAGGGAACAGTTAATATACAAAATTCTTTGAAAAATTGTGTACATGACTTTCTCTTTGAGGAGAATGTCATGAGGCAGATGTACTTTTTTGGATCTTAAAAATGTTATGTGCATGAGATGACATTCCCCAGAACTCAATGCCATATGTTACAACTGGCAAAAAAAGACCGTGATAAATCATAAGCCTGGTTTTTAAGTCGATAACCTCTCGAAGAACAATCATTTGGAAACAAATAGAGTTTAATCTATTGCATACTTTATTGACAAAAATTTTCCAATTAAGATTAGAATCAATCAAAGAGGAATTGAATGAGCCTACTACTATGGAATAGTGTTTCTCTTAGTATTTAATACTCTGACTGTTGGATGAGGACATAAAAGATATTAGGTTTTTAAAACAAGTTGTTCTTCCAGTTTTGCATTTGGTGTATTAGAAATAAAACAGCATTTTTGTCAACACACTGGTATAATATTATCAATACTAACTTCCACTTTATAGAAAGGCTACAAGCTACAACTTGAGACACACAATGACTAGAAACCTGGGAATGACTGTCTACTTCATGGAAATGTATCTTTAGTTAACGCTATAACTTAAATGTTTGACAATTTTGATGTCATGGATATACAAATCGTGTTTTTAAACAAAATTAAGTTGATTCTATATTTCATAACACTCAGGTAGCTGTGATGGAGTCTCCGGAGCTGCCAACCAAGGATTTCTCCTCGCACCACCCACGGATCCTGCCAAGCACCTTCACATATGGCTGTGGATACACATGGTACTATCCGTGGCTTGGATACCTGCTTGTATCCTGCTAACTGGTAATTCTTACAATCATCAATTTCTCATTTGCAAAAACTATCACAAGGAGGATATAGCGTTGCAAATTTTAGTAGGAGGAGAAAGAAAAACAGAAAACACAGACTGTTTCCTTTGTCTAAAAAAGACACTTTTCTTTTATGGATTGTTGATGATAAAGTCTACAAATTAAGCTAGGCTTCAGATATCTGCTTGGTAAATTATCACGAGTGATGAGAATTGAACCTAGAACAGAAATTCTGCGCTTTAACAATTTTAGTTGCTCTTACACCAGGAGTAGTTAATAAGGAAATTAATCACGGTTAGCAATATTGTTTTTTTTTTTTTATATATCACATCTTTATACCTTAGAACGCCACAGAAAAGTAAAATTTCCAAGATCTCTTGAATATAAATAATTTTCTTGTACGCTTGGAAAAACTGTTCAGGGAAACTTTGAAGTCTGAGTGCTGGGGTAGTCTGAACTGCCCTAAGATAAACTATCTTTGAAATTTTTCCACAAATTAAAAACAGTTGAGCCTCCTCTATCTTACATAAATTTGAGGTGATTCAAATCAAAGCCCATGAACTCACACTGTTGGGTTTCATAGATTCTAGCCTTTATCTTGAACTTCCTCAGCACTCTGAAGTTTTGGATAGTACAAATATCTCAAAATAACAAATTCATATTATGGTATTTCTGTTGCACTTCACTGAAGGCACGTTAAAGTTAGTTGCAGTTGTTTATAGTAAATTTATCCATACCAAATGTTATACAAACAAGGTTGGTTGAATAACAAAAGACTGTGAAATAACAACAATTATAATAATTACTTACTGCAGACAAGCTATAAATGGCTTTTATAGCCAAATTGTATGAGTTAAGTAAATTTGTATTTTTTGGAAATAAATAAATATAGTTCTAATTATTGTTTGTCTGTTAAGTCGCAGCGTCAGTGGAAGTGAGAGGCAGGCAGGGAGCAATCCTCTACTACCCGTGGATCACACTGTCATGTGTCTTCGTCATTTTCGATCTCGCTGGAGCCGTTTACCACTTCCTGGATGTCTTACACTCAACGGTTAGTAGGTCTTTAGAAATAAGACTTTTCCTACCACTGGGTGAAAATGATCACACCACCACACCTGTAACAGTACGCAAAATAGCTCATTTCCGCTCTAGAGCGGGTATAACGATTCCCACTCGCTAAACCACTAAATCAGTTGATTTCACTGTTAGCGTTTCTAAGATAACCACAGCCTCAGAGCCGGTAGTTAACAACCTGTAAGCAATCAACATAATAACTTAATGACATTTTTTAAACAACTTAAAAGTTTATCTGTGTGTTATGAAGTTAATTATGATGTTAGGAAAAATCTTGTGTGTATTACGAGCTCAAACAGTCGTTGCCAAATTTGATTTACAACTAAAATGTTAATCTGTGTGTTATTTAAGTGGTAGGAAAAATCTAGTTTGTATTAAGAACACAAAATAGTTGACCTTGATTGTGCTTTTGATGTTCCTAGCTGAAGAAACAGCTGATCTAAGTCGCTAATCTCATCATGTCAACAAAATCTTTTACTTGTCTTCGACATTTAAAACGCACCTTGGTGTATCTAACACCACCTTGGGGCTGTATATAATATTTTTGAAGAATTAAAGAATCAACTTGATTTTTATGTTATCCCATATTTATCGTAACTAATTACCGTTTGCAGACTCCAGACTACTACGCTGACATGACTTTTCACACATCCTGGAGTAACCTCACAACGAACTACTCAGTAGAAGGCATTACTCCATGGCTTCCGTCTCTCCTAGTCACCCTCTACTTCTGCCGTTTCATCTTTTTCTGGGGTCTCAATATCGTCTTTCTCTACATTGTCTACAAGGGGTGCAACGCTGTTTCATTGTACACCACCAAGTATTTGCAGGTTGGTAATTAATTATATATTTAAATCCAAACAAGTGTTCTTATATGTTAAGTTTAAAAGCTCCAAAGATGGAATCAGATAGTTAATTAACTTCAATGCAGTAAAATCACCATGTACTTTACAGAATATTAGTACCCAAGCCAGCTCCAGACATGGGCAAAGCACGAAATATTTTACGTTCGGCGATCTAGTTGCCTTGCTATTCGCCAATTAACGAGTAGACGTCTACACACATGTGTTGTTTTACGAGCAACTGTTCGTTTTGGGAATAGCAAAAATATTCATTCACTTTGATGTGTGCAAAAATACCAACAATGAACGGGAAAACACGAGCACGGATGTTTGCTGATTGCCAAATAGACTCCTATGTTCAGGGCTTGGCGAATGGCGCATGTCTGGAGCCTCCTTTAAGGTCAACGTAGTGGAATGGATTTCCAAACCTATCCTACCAAGAAAAGAATGTATAAATATTTTTAAATAAATATAGGTTAATGTTAGTAGTCAGATAGGACCAAGTTTTGTTTGTTCCCTTACAATGGTTAAAATATAATACCAGTAGCCTACATGTGTACACGCAATTCAAATTCAATTTAATAACAATAATTCCACTCCAAATACTTATACCAAACCTATTTGTTTATCAGAGCTCTTTGATGCAAGAAGATAGTCAGAAGTCATGGAAAAACAGATTCTACCAAGGGCCAGACCCGTCGTTGTTTGAGCAAAGCCCGCGGCAAAACCAAACCAAAACTGATCAACAGAGGATAGAAGATACTAAGGAGAACGCTGTTAGACACAGAATGCAGGATTTTGGCATACCAGAGGATGTTAGGCCAGTAGACCAGAGAGTTCCCACTGATCAGGACAGGTCAGGTGGACCTTGGAGGGAAAACAACGCCCCGCCTATCGCAAGGTATATAATTTGTAAGGATCTGGAAACTGTTCCTGTCTATAAAACTTGTTACGTCTTAGATACTGTCTTACTGTCAGATTCAAAATGCAAACTTTTTAAAACTTTTTCAGTTGGGAGACAGCAAAAATCCCTAAAATAACAAAGTTAGACTAACAACAAATATCATAGGTGCAAATGGCAGGTTACCAATTTCTGTCACATGCGAACTTGTAGCCAACGCAAGCTGAAAGGAACCACTCGTTGCTATTGCATTTTCCATGTAACATCCATCATGAGAGAATCTAAGAGAAAAAATATAATATTGCCAGTAGCACAATCTTTGAACTGTAGAACATTGGGCAACTACATTCTATTGTCCATGTGTCTTGCACTTTATTGTGTTGCAAAATATTACAAACTAAAATAAACATTTGATTTTCTAGCGGAGTACAAGTACCTCCAGAACTCAATAAGTTTGAGCCCTTCTCTTACATCGCTGGTGACCAACCACAGCGGATGAGACGACCCGTCAGCAGAAGTAATTCCCGTGGCGACCAACCTCCGATACCTCGACCCGATTATTCCATCTCTGAAAGGAAAGCTGCATCTTTGGAGTACGTTCCCAACCGGTTCAGGGTACCTTCGCCCAAACGCCTTCAGTCTCAGAGCTCCTTCAACCTGGACTCGGCTGGTCGACCCGTGACAACAAAGGTCGCCCCAGTACCACCCAAGAAACCATCAGCTTACCCTCGCTCTATACCTGAAGACCCTGAGAGATATGTGAACCATCCGACAACACAACAGACAAGCCCCTATACACGGCAGGCATCTGGCCCAGGTAAATAGATATGGGGTACATTCATTCATTTAAGCTTGGAAAATTTATGTCTTTCCATCACCATCTTAACCCATTGGGGAAGGAATTAATGCGCTGCCTGCACCACCCTCTGTCGGCAATTAATTGTACTGAATTTGTAGACTTTTACTTGTTATAGAAAGAAAACCTTAGGTAATAAATTAATAAATCTTTCCCCATTTTGTTCAGAGTAAAATTATTGTCCACAAAAAAGTAATAATTGCATAGTCAAAGTGTAAAATAAAAATAAAATTATAAAGGTTGCAAAAAAATTTTAAAAACTATTTTTTTAAAGTAAACTTGATTAACAAATTCCAAGATTAATTCCAGGCACCAAATTACACAACTATTATAAAGTTCAATAGCTTCCCTATGTATAAAAATCACTAGTTGTTTAAGTACTAACAGAGAAAAAATGGTTTGTTTTACCTTACCACAGCTGATTATGGGTGATATCTGGTTTCCATGGCAACACAACTTGTTTGTAATTTGCAAAAAAAATGAGTAAATATGCAAAACAAGAAGCAATATATTTATAAACATCATAAAAGTAAGAAGAAACAAAAAGGAGGAAAAGTAATTAAATAACTAGTGGCGCTGCGTAGTCGAGCAGCACTCGTAAATGCCTCTGTGACTGGCTAATTCAATTGAGTGTTCATTTAAAAAAAAAATTGGAGACAGCTGGTCCATATACAGTAGATAGGATACTTCCAGTATTCTAAAGGTTTTTGTTGTGCCACATCAAAAACAGCCGTTTTTAATACATGCGCTGCAGACCTCTTTTACTCGGAGAGAGTAAAAAGCTTTTTAGTCTCTAGAGTCTAGGGCGTAAAGTCAGTTGTAAACTTCGATTGTAATCAATGGCGTTTATTGAATTGAAACTATGTATCGATTGATTTCATCAGTTGTAACTTATTGTTGCATTCTTGTCAATAGTTCAACATATTGATGTACACAAACACAATCGTAATAGAAAAATTATCGAATCACTTACTAAACAGCTGCTTATTTGGATTAGAAAAATTGAAAACAAGCTGAAAGTTATTTTGGAAGTTATCTTTTAGATGAAAAGTATTTTTTTCTAGCTTAGTTTGTTTAATAATGTTGCAATATGATGAAAAATATAGTTAGTCACACGTGCAAAAAGTGTCCTTTCAACCCTCGCTCATTTGACTTTGAAACTTGAGCTCGGGTCAAAAAGAGTCACTCTATGCCCTAGTGATGAAATATACTATTAAAATGATACAGTAGAGTCCCGCAAACTCGGCGTAATGTGGACTGGAAGGGTGCCGAGTTTGTGAAATGCCGGGTTATCGGGAACTAGAGTTAAAAATAAGAACAATACAATTTTTAAGCTTTTTAACCGCCTTTTTTAATTAGATTTATATTATAAGTCAGTATTAAGTCATCGGATATAGTACTACAAATCCTTAGTACGAGTTACAAATGATTATACTAGAGCTGACTTGTGTCCACTGTTTAACTCGGACTCAAAAAATCACTAATTTTCTGAGCCAGGTGATGGTCGAGTTATCCAGACTGCCGGGTTATCGAGTGCCGAGTTTGCGGGACTCTACTTACTGTAATAAGGTCCGTTTTTATTTTTTGAGATAGTTTCGTCAAGCTTTTCTATTTGAAAATTCTAAATAGACCGTTTCAACTCTCAGTATCTAAATGGCACCCTTATATAAATTACTAGAATTACTATTGTTCGGCCGCTTAGAAAGCGACCTCCTCCAGCATTAGTTTAGCATTAGCGCGCAGGTCGTTTTCTAAGCGGCCGAGCTATAATTAGCATGTTCCTGATTAACTGTGTAAATGTTATGTTTTTAGATTACAACATCAACAAACTATATTAAATACCTGGTCAAGAAAGAGGAAAGGACTTGCAGAATGAAGTTGACTCAATAGAAGAAGGATAAGAGAAGAGGTAAAAAACAATCCCACCTCACTGTAACCTCAAATGTTGAAGTCAGTTAAAAATTGTTGTTACACTTTTTCTTTATCATGAATCCATATTTCACAAAATGTTTGACAAGAAAAATCACTATGCAAACTAGTCACTAAATATCTTATCGATGAATTATTCTCCTGTAAAATTTAATACAGTATTTGAAATTTATAATCTTAGCAAATTGATGAGTTCTGTTACTGTACTGTACTTCAAAAGTGTTTAATTTTGATTTTATACTAATAAACATTGATTTTGATAACCTATGAGTATCATTTGAATATAAATACCTCCCTATATCCCTATCACAGTATTATTTGGAAGTTTCTTGGTCATTCCACCATGAAAGGGGGCAGATGCTGAGGAGGCTGCAGTTTTGGCGGAAGCCAATGAGTAGGCTATATAATTTTTACTGAGACCTCTGTAGTTTAAAAGTAGTCTGATGCTAACAGCACAGTCCCAACCGAGTCTCCTGCTAAAACCAGCGTTTTCCGCCAAAACTAAGGCCTCCTCATCAACTCCCGCCAAAACTCTAACCTCCTCTGCAACTCCCGCCAAAACTCTGGCTCTTCCGCCAAAATGCAGCCTCCACAGCCTCTCATGCCATTAGTGAAGTCTCTCCAGAGTCTCCCACTAAAAATGATCAGACTAAAGAGGTACTTACCTCACTTTAGGGAGGCTGGAGGATGTATTTTTCAGAAAGAGGCAGCTAAATGTATGCCAGTGAGAGAGACAGAAAGAAGGAAATGTTGGATGGAGTCAGGAAAAGTGTAAAAGGGTATGAAAAATAGTTGGTAACAATGACCAATTTAATAGTTTAATATCAGGAGGCCAGAATAGAGTAGGAGCTAGTGGCCGTGTATCCAACTGCAGACACGGCTACCGTGTATCCAACTGCAGACACGGCTACCGTGTATCCAACTGCAGACACGGCTACCGTGTATCCAACTGCAGACACGGCTACCGTGTACCCAACTGCATACACGGCAATGCCGGTTTTGTATCAGGAGGCCAGAATAGAGTAGGAGCTAGTGGACGTGTGTCCAACTGCAGACACGGCTACCGTGTACCCAACTGCATATACGGCAATGCCGGTTTTGTATCAGGAGGCCAGAATAGAGTAGGAGCTATTGGACGTGTGTCCAACTGCAGACACGGCTACCGTGTACCCAACTGCGTATACGGCAATGCCACTTTTGTATCAGGAGGCCAGAATAGAGTAGAAGCTAGTGGACGTGTGTCCAACTGCAGACACGGCTACCGTGTACCCAACTGCGTATACGGCAATGCCACTTTTGTATCAGGAGGCCAGAATAGAGTAGGAGCTAGTGGACGTGTGTCCAACTGCAGACACGGCTACCGTGTACCCAACTGCGTATACGGCAATGCCACTTTTGTATCAGGAGGCCAGAATAGAGTAGGAGCTAGTGGACGTGTGTCCACACGTCCACCGGTTTTTTTTTCAATTCAGTTCACTCCATTTTCTCACTCCAGTCCTCCACACTTTCTCACTCCAGTCCACCTCGGTTTATCACTCCAGTCCACTGCACTTTCTCAACCCAGTTCATTCGACTGTTTCACTTCAGTTCAGTCTACTTACTCCAGTCCACTTTTTTGCATAAATAATGGGAATGTTGGAATTGTTCTGTAAATTTACTAATGATCCCATGTTATAATGTATAATGCTATGTTATACATAGGTTCCTGTTCAGATTTTAGAAATTTGTAAGGGAATTGATTTTAGTTAGAACAGGTTTGTCATGATTTCACAAGGTTAAATCATAGATAATACATGGTTAAATGTATATCATTCTTGTATCTTGTAAACTTTACTTGTTGTTCTGAAACAATATCACTGAGAGCTCAGTGGAAGAAAATGAAACTTTACTTTAGAATGACAAACTTTACTGGTCTATTTAGATAGCTGTTAGACTACTGCAGCATCTGGATATTAAAATATACCTTTTATTTTTTGAGACTTACTAACTCTCCTATTTTATTCTGGTTGATGGGCACAAACTTAAATAATAAGTACAACAATTCTTATGGAAATCACATTTAATAGATTTCAAGAGAACAAAAAGTAACAGAGCACATAAACTTTTGAACAGTAGTGGAAATGAGGAATGAACAACAGACAAAAGAAACCACATTCTGTGTGTATACAACCTCTTATATACAAACTTAATAAATATATTATTGCGAATATTACTATTTACAAGCCTTAAAATTAAATCTTTGGAATGATGAATGAGAAACTACTAAAATATTCAGTATAGATTTACATACAATGTTAAATGAACTAAAGAACAGATCATAACTAACTATTTAACTGTAAAAACATTTAAATATTAAAATTAAAAACGTTCACTCGTTACATGAAATAAATAATAGATTAGCGAATGAGAGATGCAATTTATGGCTAAAACAGATAAGGAGAGGAGTGACCATAGACAAAATACTTCGCAAACTGAAGACGTATATTATAAGAATGAAGATGCTTGTAAGTCTATGGTTAGTCTTCTCTAAATCCTTGTGCTGTAGCAACCCAGCTAAAAATGTCATCTATAATTCTATTACGATTTTTGTAATGAATTGAGCCGTTATTTTTCTTCATTACTGAAAATGCTTTAAGTTACAGCTATATTAAAGTACAGCATAATACTTATGGATTTTTTCAAGAGCAAAACACAAATGAAGAAAACCTTTGTGTATAAATAAATTAACAATAACTAACTATAATCAAACAATGACTTTGCTTGAAATAATAAGTTAGTAAAGATTAAACAATTTTTAGCTGGTTACTCTTCTTTTAAAAGCACATTATAGGTTATTTTTACTGCAATTCTCATTCAAAATGTTCAGTCCAAAAATATTTCTGGTTTTATCATGAACTTATTAAAAATACTGTATTGCTACGCAATTTGTTCTTTTATTTAAAAATTTATACCTATATCTGTTACATTTTAAATGCTAAGCCATTTAAAATGAATAATACATAGGTAAATTAGTTAAGATTTATCTTCAACAAAGAATACTCAACAATTTACTAATGACCAATAGCAATTTTAGATTCTCTAAATATGCTGATTGTAGTTATCTAAAAATTCTAATTTAATTATTTTCTCACAAAATTTAATATTTATCGACTTTAAAATTAACAAATAGAAGGTGAAAATAAAAGTATTTCCACCGTAAGCTGTACCTTTCTTTTAGAAACAGTAATGATTACCAAGTCTTAAAAGATAAGTTTATGTAATTTTTTAAATAACTATATCAAACCTCGTATGTTCTAGGTGTAATGCCCTTTACGTTTAATACCTTAATAATACTTATTGCTTGAGTTTTCCACATTGATTGCTTCATCAAGTAAACATCAAGGCTATGAAGACCAATGTCTTATATCACAGGACAATGCGTTGTACTAATCAAGAATTTCCACCAAAAACAATAAAACACTCATAAGGCACATATAATACAAATCAATGGATAAAGCACTTGTGATAGCAAAAGATGAAAAGAACGAATATCGAATCAAAGCGGCCATTTACGATACATTATAGATTGTGCAGTCATACTAAATGTGAGTAAAGTTGCAATTAATTACACAAAACACTTAAATGTCTGAAGGAGTCCTTATCATTGACTAGCTTATCGTAAAAACATTGCAATACAATGACAGGTATAAAGATATCGATTTAAGTTTTTAAACTGCAGTAGAAGATTTTGAGTACAGAAAAACGTTTAACGTAATTTGACTATGGATAACATGAAGTAGACATCTCCTTTCCAGGTTGTTTTTACTGGATCGTTATTAAATTTAACTTGAATGCAACCCACAGCCAAAATGTGCAGCTCTCATTTGTTTTCTGCCTCACCAATATTTGAATGATTCTCAACCAAAACTATGTCTGGTTGTAAACAATAGCTGTCACATTAGCTATCATCATATGAAAAACTAAATGACAATAGAACTTTGACAGTCGCACACTTTGTTTGGGGTTGGATCTAGGATATCATTAAGTAAAATCTGGCTTCTGTTTCATGAAAAAATGATAATCTACATCTGCATCAAGAATCAAAAGTAAGACTTTGTCTATACCGAAATTACACGATGAACTTTGAGGTAATACTTAAATATTGATGATAAACATAGAAAATTGTAGCTTTTTCTCAAATTACTTCTTGACACCTAGCAATTTAGCAGCATCCTCAGCAGACTTTGAAAGCAACATTTTATCGACGATAGTTTTGTCTTGGATTCCGAGGAGGTTACTGATTAAATCTGAATCCTCCTCCATCCGAGACTTAGCCCAGTGCTTGGTCAGAATGGTGTTGTAGTTGTTGTTATTATTGTTGGGTGCTGTCTCTTCGTCACTGGCTGGAGAAGTGTCCTCGGGAGCGGGGAACGAATGTTTCTTGCGATGTCGCAGCATGCTGTGCTTGAGAGTGAAGCGTCGTCTGCAGATGTCGCAAGAGAATGGTCGCTCTCCCGTGTGTGTTCGCATGTGTCGTCTTAGATCTTCGGCGGACCAGAAACGTCGCAGACAGAAGGCACACATCACCTGAACAAAAAGTAGTTGTGAATGTTTGATAATGTTGACTTGACAAAATTTTAGTTAGAATTGTTGAAGTGGTGTGTTATTTATAAGTGTTATTTATAAGTGTATTGGCTGTAGAATCAGAAGTAACCACTGAAATGTTTCACTTGCCTATAACAGGTTGCTTTTCATAGATTGAAAAAGAAACGCTACGAGGAGAAAGTTATCCTCATGTCTTTAATTTAAGGATGGAAATACAAAATCCAAAATATTGAGTTAATTGGAAACAATTACGGTATCAAAGTTTAAAAAAATCGTTTGAAAAAATATTTAATACTGGTAGAGCATATTTTAAACATTTTCTTGTTATGTTTTAGGGTCTTTTGCAATTAGGCCTATCTATTTATTTTTATTTCCGTTGATTATCAAGATTTAAAAAAGGTAAATAAATCACTACAATTATTTCTCAAGTGTGTGTCAACTGGTAGCTTTTCTGTATTACCAGGCTAAGGTATCCAAACATTTTACTCATAAATGTATGGTTTTAACATAAGATTTTTATACGGTGTCAACAGTTTCATTAGATATTTTTTTAAATGTTCCTCAAAATTACATGTATCAGAAAAAGAAACGAAAGCAAATTTTTTCTCGATGAACAGTATCTGTACCATGATGACAGTAAATGTTTTTATAGTACATACTACAGTCAACATTCTAGCAAATATACATACCTTTCTATTGGCGTAGTCTGGAAACTTCCCCCTCAGCTGTTCCAAGTTTTCTTCTCCATTCTCTTCAGTTGGATGGTTCTCTTCTGCAGCAGCCCCTACCTCCAACGCTCCCTTCGAAACCAAGAGTTGGAACTCAGAGCTGTGGCTGTCTCGGATGTGATCCAACGCTTCCTGCCGCTCGGCAAAACTGCCTTCGCAAAGATGACACTTAAACGGTAAATCCGACGGGGTCGCAACAAACGTCTCTTGCTTGAAGGTATGACTTTCAGTATGACTAGGATGGATCTCTCTCAAATCTGTGATCGGCCTTTTTTCTTTCTCTTCGTCTTTCACTTCATCACAAACGTCAATCTCCTCGCTCGCACTGCCATGGCTTTCGTATCCACTCTGGTCGTTCTTGAACGCGCCTGGTTGGTGTTTGGTGGAGAGATGTTTCTTTAGGTTGCTGAGGGTGGAGAATGTAGAGCTAGGACAGTTCTTGCACTTGTAAGGCCTTTCGGGGACGTTCCTCATGGTGTAGTTTGGTCCGTTGGGTTGTTCCGTGACAGTAGGAGGCACTTCGGTCGTCGTGGGAGTTCCTCCTCCGTGTTTGCGCAGCAAGTGACGATCACAGTTGGACTTTGTCGTGAAGAGGAGAGGACAGAAAGAACACTTGTAAGGTTTCTGACCCGTGTGTGTCAGAACGTGTCGACGGAGAGAAGAAGACCAAGGGAACTTCCTGGCGCAGTACGGACAGGAAACTCTGTTTGGAGCCATGGAGTATGCACTCTTCTTCTTCACAGCTGGAGGGTGTGTGCTGTTGTTTTCTGATTCTGACCTGTAAACAAAATTAATTTCTTAAGTGATTATACAAATTCCAGTTTGTTATTCAAAATTGAAATGAAGAAGAACTGTATTGGGTTAGGAAAGATCCAATTATGACCATGAAATTTGGCATTTCGTCATGTTTTAAATCAGCTCGGCAGTTAAATTATTGCAATATTTTCATTGATTTTGAATTGTTTTTATTACATTAAATTAATCAGAGTGCAAAGTAATATTTAACTATGATTTACAACTATCGAGAACATTTGAACTCAATTTAACAAATACTCCAGTTTGTAAGGACAGTATTATTATCAGTTAAAATATCTCAGTAAAAAGATGAAGTGTTATTAATGCAACCTTTGTAGTTTAGCAGGTTTATACAATTCAATTTCGTTGATAGGTGGGTAATTAGACACTACACAGCTAAATGTTTAATCTGGTTTTAATCATCTAAAATTTAATTTTTTAAAGTTACTGAGAATGCTTACCTGTTCTCATCGCTGCCTGAGTTGCATCCTTCACTGGCACTGCCTGCTGCTACCAACCCCTCCTCATCTTCATCACTTCCATCACCTCCAGGCTGATCTTCCTCGGAATGGAAATACTGGCGAAAGGTCTGAGTTGAAGCATTGTCAAGAAGCCTGGATACACTTGCTAAATCTGCGCTGTCTTCTCTCATACACATCTTTTTTCTGAATGAAATTTCTTCTTCGTTCTGCTCACCATCTTGATCATCGACCTCATCATTCTTTTCTTCATCGATGACTAGATCTTCATCCTCCTCTTCTTCCATAAGTTCTTCGTTTTTACCATTTACAGACTCTGAAGATGGAATCTTTGATTTCAGTTGGAGAGCAATAGCATTCTTCACTTCTTCTGATATACAAGGTTTTCCCTCCAGGGTGAATTTATCAGCGTTGAAGTCGCTGTTGATCGAGGACTTTGAATCTTCTTCAGATTTAATACTCATGTTGGGCATTCCAGATTGAGAATAATACTGACTGTGGTTGAGTAAGCTTTGAGGCACTTTAGGAACGATAGAATGATTGCGTCTGGCTGGCATTGTTATGGCATTCCTCTGTCTTTGAGACCAGTATTGTGGATGTTGTTGTTTAATGTGCCGTTCCATGTTGGACCTCAACGTGAATCTTGCAGCACAATGTTCGCAAGAGAACGGTCGCTCTGTGCGGTAACGCCTTTGTTTCTGCTTGGGAATCAAAACACCATTCTTTATCACCATTTTAACTGAAGATGAAGTTTCTTGTTTGGGTTTAGGCTGGGCCAATTTTTCTTGTAACTTAGAATGGTTGATTTCTGGAGTTCTTGTGTCTTTTTCACTTTCATGAACGGGAATTTTTTCTTTCATCGACGGGGAGAATGTTCTTTCCTCCCTAGAGTTTTCTATTCGCCAATTGTATTCTGCCATGGCTTGCTGTTGAAGAGATTGAATTCTATCAGCTGCATTCACCATTGCTAGCTGATCAAGAACAAGAGATCCACCTGATGTCAGTTGAAGACCTCTAATCAACTCTTTTTGAAGTCTTTCCTTAATTTCAACAAAATCTTGGCCGGAGTTTCCAGGGAAAAAACCTGGAGGAGGTGGTATGAAGTATGGTGGATAGGAACCATTAGGCATGACAGTTGGTGTAAATGCAGGAAAAGGTGCATTGGCATTCAAATAAAATGGATGGGCATTCGCTGGATAAAACTTTGAGAGGTCTAACTTTGTCAAGGGGTTGGGTAAAACAGGATTTTCATTTTCATAAGTTGGATGAGGTGACTGAGCAGAAGTGTTTATTTTGTCTTCATTGTTTGTTTCAGGAATATTTCTTTGTATTGTGATTGTTTCCTTGGGTTCTATGATTGAGATCGCCCTTTTCTCTACTGGTATGTTTGGCTTTTTTGACAAATCTTGTGGTTCTAATTCTTCTGCATTTTCAAACACTTCATTTTTACTTATTATAGGTTGTTCTCTAGGAGTAGCTTTCTTTTTACTTAAGTCTAAAACATCCATAGATAGATCCAATGGAGCATCTGTATCGCTATCGGTTTTATCTGGAGTAGTATTTGCATGGTACACTGGAATCCGCACATCATTTTCTTCTTGGGTCATGGTTCCTACGTCGAGACATTTTCTTTGTACAGTTTCATTGACAGTAATATCATTAACACTTGGAGCCTTTTGAACATAAGCAAATGGTGAAGCCTTTGGCAAGTTTGCTTTTTCAAAAACAATATTGGGTGTTTCCAAGTTTTGTTTGGTAAAACTGTGAGTATTCTCAATTTTGAAACTATCCTTACTCTCGATGCGATTCAACTGATCCGACTCAGAGAACAGAGAACGTTTGACATCATCACGGTTTGGTTTATGGTCTGCATCATTTGTTGGATCTTCTGAAGGATGGTAAATAATTGATTTCTTCACATCTTCACGAGTCATCTTAGCGTGTCTATTTCTAAGGTGGCGTTCACAGTTTGCTTTTGTAGTGAAGGCATAATGACAAAGGGCACATTCATATGGCCTGTCACCATTGTGTGTGCGCATGTGCCTGATCAATGCAGACTTATCTGAGCTGTAGTGCGGACACATGTTGCAGCGATAAGGCACTGGATTTGCTCCACCACTGCTGGTCAAATGAACCCTATTATGGCCCTTCAGAGCTCTCAAGTTTGGGAAAATTGCTTTGCACAATCTACAAGGAAATTCTCCTCGCAGTTTCATTTTTCTAAATTCAGCAGCAAAACAGTCTTGCTGTTCCTCGTCAGCAATAGCTGACTCAAAGGTTCCAGCTCTAGAGCCAGAGTCTGGGGGTGTCACTTCCAAGACAGTTGGTTGAGGAGACTTTGACAAATCGTGAAGCAAACCTCCAGCAGAAGTAACGGAAATGATGCTTTGGATATCAGCCAGATCTTTACTCTCTGAATTGTTTTGGTTGAAATAAAGATCCCTCCGGAGATTTAGAGAAGTGGGAGGACAGGTCTGTGGAGGAGTATTCGCGATTGATTTATTTTGTAAATCGAGTCCTGCAAAGAAGTTGAATCTTTTACGTTCCTCTTCAACATCGTCAGAACTCTCGGATACTTTGGTTTCACTCCAAGAGCCTCTTTTACCAGCGCTGCTGAGATCTGTTGGAGCTTCATCGCTGGAGGAAAAGTCGTTGTCTTGGTGGCAGCTCTCCCCTGAAGAAGCGTAGTTCTCCTGTCCACAGCCTTGTCTGTGAATATTGAGAGCAGATCCGCACGGAAACGCTCTGCTACATTTGTCACATTGAAACCTGTGAAACATACTACTCGCCAGGTGCAAACTCTGCTCACACATCGCTCTGGCAATATGAGGGAATTTTTCACTTGAAAAATCCACAAATGTCAAGTCTTTAAATCCAATTGTTTCTTTAACATTTCCGACCGAACGTTCTTTCAACTCCGAATGATGAACCATGTACCGATGAAGGTTTAATACTCTGTGGTTTTTGAAAACCAAATTACAAGGAGTACATTTTGCTACGTAGTCAGGATGGCATTCTTCAATATGGGTCTCAAGCAGGTTCAGTGAAAGGAAACCTGTTTTACCACAAAAAGAACAATCAAATTTACTCTTTTCACTTTTCTTTCTCTTAGACGATCCAAAGTCGTCTTCTGTTTTCCTCTTATGTTCAGATCTGTAAGGTGAAAACTCAATGACGTTGTTGTTGTACTCTGAAGCAGTTCTAGACACCCTTCTTCTTTTTTGAGTTGTCGGCAGAGATGAAAACGATTTTGGAGATCCAAGACTCTCAGAACTAGCGTCACTGTCGTAGTTATAAGAATCCCTGTTTTCCGAGCTGTGACTTCTCATGTGGTAATGTAGGGTCCCGATGGAGGTGAACATGGTTCCGCAAATTTTGCATTTGAATTGTTGCTCTCTTGAATGTGTCAGAATGTGTTTATCCAGCGACGCTTCCGAAGTCATCACCTTGCAGCAGATTTGGCACACGAGGCTTTTCCCAGACGATGAGATGAAACCGAGATCCTCGGGTTTGTGTGATCTGATGTGGATGGTGAAGTCGTGAGAGGAGAAAAGCACCATGTCACACACCGGACAGCCATATTGGACATCTCCAAAGTTGTCTGCTTGCTTGGTGACAACCTGCAGACAGAAATACACTTGATTAGCAAAACAACCCGAGTATAAGATAATAACAGTAAAAACCGCTGTAGGCTACTTGAATCAACCCACATCACTCGTTAAGGGTTTATTGTAATTGATATTGTAACTGCATTGTTCAGCTGATGATCAACAACAAACTATAATGATGACAATTGTTTCTTTTTCTAAAATCTTACAAAGGTGACACTGTATTTAATGAAACATCATAATCACTTTTTAGTGGCATTGAAATTAATTTTTAAATCAAAATTATCTTGATTTATTTTTTAGCTGTACAGCCAAACAACAAAGTAATATCATAGATTAAACTTTAATCTATGATAATATCCATTATACAACTATGTAATAAAACGTATTAATATGTTTAGTTATTAAGGATTCTTATTACATCCAAACAAATTGACACAACTTATTTAAGAATTTTATTTAACTGTGAATAAAAGTTTTTAATTTTATAAAACAGTTGATGCAAGTTAACTCCACTGTTTTAAACCTATGGAGTTTAATATATATATTTTTTCTGTTCTGTTCTTTGTGACGTTCCAATCCAGAGAGCTCTGAAATCCTACTGGACTGAGGCTGTTTAGGACTTAGTCCTCTTTTTAAAGATTTGTGACTAATCTGCAATAGGTTCTACACTTATAGTGTAGAATTTATCGCCCAAGTAGTTAAAAAGGATTTTCAGTCTTGTACACATTTTCTCAAACTTACCTCTGGAGTTTGGTCTGGTTGGTTTGGAGGTTGGATGGTGTTGTTGTTAACTGGATTATCTTCATCAGTGCTATGGGTTTCTTTGGCTTGGTTTTCTTCTTTGGTGTCATGGTCGAGGGGTTTCTCTTCTGCCGCCTTCTCCATTCTTGGGACTTGCAGAGGGTTCAAAGTCACCTCTGGGCACAAGACATGGTAAGTTTTAATTTACTATTCCAGTAGTTTAAGATTGTATAATTGTTTAGTGTAGTAAAATTGATAATTCCTATTAAAGGGACTGATGATGTTTAAACAATTATTTGCCTTATTTAGTTCAATAGTAATACAAAAAATGCTTTCTGATCGTAGTTTTTAAAAACTCTAAATATGTGTTACTGTACGATTAAAAATCAACAATAATGATATGTTTATTGGCACAAAACGTACATACTCGTACTTTTTAAAGTACTGGCGCTTTGTCACTTTCGTATCACTCTAAAACCAGTTCTTTACCGACACTCTGAGTTTACATTTGGTCCTGTAACAGTTTCAAAATTTAATTTTTGAACTAGTTACCTTATGTCTTTGTTCTTGCAGGTATGAAGTTATAATCCTCCAATATATTTCACCACAGTGTGTGGCATCTTCAGGGAGTCTTGAAGTTCAATTTACATATTTACACAGAAATATATTGGAGGATTATAACTTCATACCTGCAAGAACAAAGGCATAAGGTAACTAGTTCAAAAATTAAATATTCTAGTTCTTGCCACTGGGAAAATACATAAAATCATCAGTTTCAAAATGTAATACTTGTAATGACTTACAGGCTTATTCAATAGCAATTTGTTTTGTTTTGTCAATGTTAAAAATGTAAGTACTTACTGAAACTGAAATCAAAATTGGAGTCATAGAACGTAACTTTACCATTGACTTGATAACATAAATGTTTCAAAACAAGTTCCAAATAGCTTTACCAAATAATTGAGAAAATTATTACCAAATAATTGGCAGTTGATTTTCAAAATTGGCAATCATTGGTTTTGAACCATCGGAGGGTAAAATATCAAAAGTTGCATGACACATCACTTACCATGAGTAGGGGCTGGGGCTGGCGAAAAGCCAGTTTCACAAGGGGTGTCCTGCATGTTTCCGCAGAATCTTTAGGGGCAGAAATACAGTGTCAATCGTCCACCTGAAACAAGCATAGAAATGTTTAAGATTTTTAGCTCTCAGCAAAGTTTGCTAGAACATTTGGATGTTTTCTACAATGATAAATGATGACAATAATTTGACTATGTCATTTATTGTGTTTTAAACCTCTAACGTTACGGTTTCTTAGCTGCAATAATATTATTAATGTGAAATAATCAGTACCCAAACACAGTAAAATTTATGTAGCCTTTCGAGTTTTATTTATTAATTCATAAATATTCAAATTTTTGTAAGTTTTAAATCAAAGATTAAAAAAAGTTACATTATTGGTAAAACAAAAATTTGACTTTGTGAATTAGGAGGGATTCCCTGCAGTGTTATTTCTCATGCTACTCTGTGGTTACCAAGGCTACAGTACACTGTTAGAATTATTCCGTCTGTATCTGTTTTGCGTTGTCCAGATTGAAGGCGTCTACCGTTTGTATCGATGAGAAACGAAGAACAAACTGTTCGTAACAAAAATGTCCTTATAATGTTTCATTTGATTTTATCTATTTCAACCTTTTGCTGGTTTACACTGTCTTAGTTAATTTAGGAAACAATAAATTTATTCCAATTATATTGTAAACATAATTTTGAATTATAGGGACTAAACATTTACGGCGGTTATTTAGAAAGCTAGAAACATTAAAATATTTCACATCACGAAAGTTCGAAAAGTATCATTCTCATAATACTAAAACATTTGGTAGACAAATTAATAACCTAACCAAATATAAAGTGAGACAGATGATTAATTCAATTAGTCAAGAAATCTGTACACTTGATTGTTAAAATTCTTTGATAACGTATCTTGGAAACACCACTGGAGGCTGCTCTAAGAGAACAAATACATTCTTTAGTCTCTGGTAAGTTGGTAACTCTGTGCTCTGTCTAACACTTATTGAATAATGTTATACTTTATTTACACATAATCACTTTCAATAACCATCAATGCACAAATAATACGTAACTTAAACACAGTTTTCACCACGGACGCCATTTGAAAGTAGTAAATTACAAAACCTTTGAAAAGCCAAAACTACGTTACAATATTTATTAAAAAGCTACGACTGGACGCCTTACATCATTCAACGACCTTGTGAACTTGTATCATTGTTGCGAGGGCTGCACCTGCCACAACGGCACCTGTCTTCAAAATACGTTACTACGCCCTCCCCCACCCCCTCCCCCATGACCAGCAGAGTTGGCTATTTAACTGTCTCACTAATTTATTGGATGTGGAAGGGGTTTCCTGCGTAACGGACGAATAGACGATGATAAGGTTTTAATTTCCCTACACTGATGGTACATCTAAAACTCGCCTAGGCTTGTGAAAAGAAAGGGTATGTATTTTTGAGGCAGTCAAGAACGCGATGGAACGAAAACACATCTGAATGAATATTTTAATGGTTTTTACTTTTTAATTAACATAATAAATTAAGCAAATAAATTTGGATTATTTATCGAAAAACTAAATTATAACCAATTAGGCTACGATAAATGACGGAGTCTTTATTGCAATATAAATGGTGACATGGAAAACATGTTTACGAGCAGTGGATTTATAAGCAACAAAGAAACCAAGTATGAACAACTAAGAACGGCATTAATTAAACTCTGCAAGTGTTAACTAGGATAAATATTTTCAAGCAATATACAATCCATTACAATAATTGTGGCACAAAATCTCTAAAACGATCCGAATTTACAAGTAGAATCGTAAACCAAAGATCAGATGCTTACTATACATACATTACATCTGACTATTATACGCAATTTTCAACAAACAATTTAACACACAATAGAATGGATAATCTATAAATAGAACCCAAACTAAAAATATCAAAAACAATCAAATACATTGTACAACATCCCCATTAAATATCGTGGTTAAACATGTCGCCACCTGATCGACTCCCAGCCCCTCCCTACTGTGTTGAAAGCAACAACACTGTATTGTATTCATTGTTGTTCAACAATAACACTAGTGGGCCGTTGATGGGATCAGTCAATTGTCGGGGAGACAGCAGGGGGTGGACGCCTACCCTTGTGGAAGGGGAACCACCCCAAATTGACCTCTGATGATTCTCTTAATCTCTATTACTTCATATTTTCCCAGCCTTTGTGAGATTTGGTTGTTACTTTGAGGTTAAAGTTCTTCGGCACGCTAGTAAAAAACGTTTGTGTGGGTGTAATTAGCTATATTAGGTGTATATATAGCTCGTATGTAACAATTCACGATTGAAGTTTTAGGTCATGTCTCGGTTCTAGCCTATAGCCCTACCTTTTATTGTATTCTTTAGAGGACCCCCTTTATATAGAGCCCTCCGCTGTAATCTTTTAACGGTTTTCTGAATAAAAAATCGAAATATAAAGAATGTACAAAAAACAGTTAGTTTGTACACAATTAGTCTCTATAGAGCATCTTATAGTATTTTAAAATATAAGCAGTGACACACCAATTGTCAAACTACGACCAAACCGCTTACAATTCGTTACATTGTAAAATAATTAAACAGTATGGTGAGTCGAAAGTATACTGAAATACTAGCCATTGTTAGCAATCAAATTTGTTGCAGTATAATAATGAAAACAATTAAACAAAACCGCCAGTGGTATTTACCGTGTCAATGAGCTATGACATTTACCGGTCGAGGGGAAGCAGGGGTGCCACCCTTGTAGCAATACACCACTAGGGGTGCCAACCATGCAGAATCACAGTATTGTTGTAAATCCCAGTGGGGCCACTACACGATCAACGCCTCTAATCAATCAGTTATCTTATCAGGGGTTGGGTTATAGGGTGGCAAAGTGGAGTCAATTGATATGTTGTTATGTTTTAATTAATTGATTGTAATTGTTTGTAATATATGAATATCCTGTCCCCTAAATGAATATTGACCATCTATAGTTTGTATATCCTTGAGTGTATTATGCATGTCAGGAAACATAAAGCCAATATTACAACACATGAAGATATGCATAATTACAACACCAGAAATAAAAAAAAACAAGTTCAAAAGTGAACTAAAAGTTTTTTGATCAGAAATGCATTTTACTCTCTCGAAGGGCTGTACGATTTAACTGATGTGAATGCTGATGTATGTAGATAACTGTCAATTTCATAACTTAACAATTCAATGCAATGTACTGAGTTAGATTAAGGAACTATGACGCTATTTATTGTATTGCTATACTTGAAACAAATAAAGAAGTTTTGAATTGAATTGAATTGAATATAAACTGGAGCTCCATTGGTTATTTGACATTGGCGTTCGATTTGATTATAAATACCTGTATCTGATTTAGAATGGTAATCCCAATCAGGTGTACGTCTGCGGCATTTCAGCCAAAATAACGATGTTAACACGATTTCAATTGAAGAAACTGTTGAAAAACGTTAAATAATAGCCAAACTAGCAGAATTTAAAGTGAAACTATAAAATATAATTTTTGCTTTCAGTTTGTTATGTGTTCATCGCGTAACCCTTAAGTGTAACTATATAACTCATTAATCTGACCAAAGTAACATATTTACGAACATTAGTTACGTCATTAAAAAAAAGTAAATATGCTTACTGAAAAATAGTAGAAAAATAACGAAAACATAAGAGGCCTATGCTGTAAAAATTCTGTATTCACTGATTAGCACCAACAATAATTAAGGATTTCAGTAATAAAACAGCTGATTTATTACATTACAACAATGGTAAAACAGCTGATCCGTTGTATAACAGATTAATAAAACAATACATACTATCATCAACGCTTTGGTTTGAACAAGCTATTAGTTCAAGATTGGAAACAGGTAAATGGAAACTCCCAGTTTGAAACACCTGAGTCATCTTGTTTCAGTCCAGAGTCCAGACTGCACGGCGAGAGCAGGTGAGTATGAGTAGACAGAGACAGATGACTCACTGGCGTGTAAAATGACTCACGGTCTCCTCTCGCACGCACACCAAACCCGCTCTTTGTCCACTGTCGTCATTATGTGTATTAAATACACTTATCTAAAATGTGTTAAAGGTTATTTAGTAATGTATTCTCTATTTTTAGTTTGGTGCACCATTTATCCAGGATATATAGAAAGGCTGAGCAATGTGGTTCGAAAAGTTTATGGAGGTTTTTTGAGTTTAGGAGGAATTAGGGAGAAGAAAATTTTAGATTTTCATCTTATAAGTGCATGTCATATCTTGTATAAGAAGCGACGAAATAACATTCTAACGAGAATAACACCGTGAAAAACTCACGGGGACGAATCGCTAGTGTAAGATTGGGGAATATATTATGACCCCAAATAACGATTCAGATACTCTTATTGAAGTTTAGAAATATGTTTACAATATCGTTTACATAATAATTTAAATGTTTACGGAGGAAAATCCAGCTTTTTATTTATTTATTATTTTTGGTTTAAGTTGGAATTTCCTTATTCAATTACATGTTTCATTATGCGAATGTAGATGTTTTGTTTTGTCAAAAAGAAATGGGTGCTTCACTCCTTTGTCTTCGAGTAGCAGATCGTTATGAATTTGTACTACAGGTACAGCTATCGCCGAGTATTATAAAGCCATTACAAAAGATAAACGTCAATTATTTTCTCAATTTAACATTACATTTTTCCTCCAGTCCAGCTGTCATTTCTCACAACTCGTCACAACAGATGACAAGCCACGCCTGTAGTAGCGTCTGTTCCTCACCTGGTTGCCTAGCAACGCCAGTTCCGCCATTGGTCACCAGAGCGCAGGCCAAGCTATTGCCTAGCGACAGAATGCGGGCGCTGGGTATTGATCACGTTTTCTTGGCAACCATAAAAACATTAGATATTATTTTAATTTGTTGTTCTGCGGTCTCCAGCCCCTCCAGCCCTGTCTAGCAATCAACCTGATGATATTGCTTCATTGTCGTCGCTTCACTATGAAATTTTGATTTCTTTTAGAGATTGTAGAAATTAATTCGTGAGTTTTTTTATCGTTGCTAACATTCATATTTTGCGTG